TAGCAAGAATGAGGATACAAATAGCAAACCCTAGAAGGGTTGTACTCGCTATAGAGCACCCCACTACAGGCTAGAGCATAATATTCTGACACACCCCCATAGCCAAAGTGGGGTGTAATCAGCAGAGCAAGCAAAGCAGAACAAGCTCAGGGTGGATCACAATGTCACCACACATTCTGAGCACAAGTTCAGGAAGCAATAGTTTAAAGTTCACAATTATGAGCAAAGCTAGTGGTAGTCACAACGGGCAAGTGAGGAGGAGGAGGGACAGTGAGAGGAGAGGAGATAGGAGGCGACGGCTGAAGCTGCAGACACACGGGCAACAGGAGGCACACTGGCACAGCGGCTACCGGAACAGCGCTCCGGACTACTGGAGTAACTGGCCCCGCGGCTAAAAGTAGCGGCAGACGAGCAACGGACCCACGGGCGACTGGCACAGGTGGCTACGACTGGGCTACCGGAGCAACTCCCCGGACTACAGCCCCTAGCTCCACTCCCCCTTCAACCCCCCTTAGTACCACTCCGACGGCTCCAACAGGTCCACCCCCCCTCAGCAGCAGCTGCAGCACAGGGAGACGGAGAGGAGGAGGAGGAGCAGGGAACGGCACACAGAAGCTGCACCCCCATACCCCCCACCCCCAAACCCTAATCCAGGAGAACGGGCAGAAGGAGGGGTGGGGCGCCTTCAGAAGCACGGGGGACAGCGGGGAGGACAGGGGCAGCGAAGAACGGGCCGCCCACGGGCCTGGCACAGCCTCCCGAACCGCGCGCAGGCGGCCCGAGCCGCGCGCGGGCCTGGCGCAGCCCGTACGGGCCGCGCGCGGGCCTGGCGCAGCCCGTACGGGCCGCGCGCGGGCCTGGCGCAGCCCGTACGGGCCGCGCGCGGGCCTGGCGCAGCCCGTACGGGCCGCGCGCAGGCCTGGCGTAGCCCGTACGGGCCGCGCGCAGGCCACGACGGGCGACGGGGGGCGACGCGCGGGTCCCCGTCGCCCGTCGTAGCGCCTCCTGGGGGCGACGCGCCGAGTGATGGGGCAGAAACCCGTCGCGCGCCTCGGGGCGCACGACGGGCAGAAAACCGCCGCGCGCCTCGAGGCGCACGGCGGGCAGAAAACCGCCGCGCGCCTCGGGGCGCACGGCGGGCTGAAAAAAAACCTAATTTCGACGCCGCGCACCACGGGGCGCGCGGCGGACAGGGAGTAGCAATAGCAGCGGAAGCAGTGAGGTGGGGCCCACAGGCCAGGAGCATATCGCTCTGATACCATGTGAAAATAAGCAGTAGAAGAAGGCGCCATAGCTAGGAAAGCCCTAGCTAGGCAAGAAACAGTTTAGGCAAAAAGGGAGGAGTTGCACTAGCAAGAATGAGGATACAAATAGCAAACCCTAGAAGGGTTGTACTCGCTATAGAGCACCCCACTACAGGCTAGAGCATAATATTCTGACAGTGGTGAGGTCAATGCCTCAATGGAGTGGAATCTTGCCGGGGCTGCCAATTGCGTGGTTGTACAGAGTCGTGCCTGGCACGACATGCGAACCTGATTGGGCAGTCGCAACCAAAACTACGTGTGCGCTAGCATGGGCCAGATTCATGTTCGATGAATCTGGTCAGGCCAGCAAGGCGTGATGGGCGTGATTCCACGCCTTGTTGGCCATTTCACGCACTTTTCATGCACGGATACGAACGTTCTAGATGTGGATTGAATCCCCTTTTGAAAAAAGCTTCAATTTCATGTTAAAACAATACATTACATTTTTGCCATTTTATAAACGCCGGCGCTTATAAATTTCCTCAATTATAAGCGTACCCCTAAAAAACAGTGTTTTTTTATATCCCCAGGGGCGCTACTATCCGGGGGCTGACGGTACTGATGTCCTTGTAGTGAGGAGACCGCTTGTATCGGTGACTATGCGTTTTGAGCTTAGCGGGGACAGGTACCTGGACCGATCCGCTTTCTGGGGACGAGTAGCGCTTTCTGCGCACAGTTTCCGCAAAACAGTGGGCTAGGGTGGGACAGTTATTGTTCAAGTTAGGGACTCGAGCTCTCAATGAGCCACGTGTCTCACTTTTCACAGAGTTCACTGTAGATATTCAATCACAGATTCCCTACGGCTCTGGCTTGTCATTTCTACCCAAAATAATTCACGCGGAAGAGTCGTTTAGCTAGCTCATTTGCGCTAGCGGCGCTAAACGACGCTACCGGGAACAATAGTGACAGGGCATAAAAAAAAAAACCCCTAGGGAACCTTGACGCATTTTTGGGAGGGATCAACCGTAAACACGGGAAAGGGCATTGTTTTTTAGGTTGATGCCTCCCCGAGTCGCATCCCTTTCCGATTGGGTTTTAGGTTTTTTGGGTCAGGGGGTGCAATATACCGTATGGCCCCGGATATAGGCGCCGTCCGATTAAAGGCGCCGGCGCTTCTATATGGAGCATGACGCTTATGGCCGAAACTCGATTATAAGCGCCCCCCCCCTGGAAAACCTTTACTTATTATAAGCGCACGTACATTTTGAAATTATAAATCTGTTTAAAACAGTAACGAGATTCATTTTCGCAGCGAGCCAAATTTCATATTCGCTTCGTTTGACTCGCGAAGACATGACTGGCTGCGCGTCCAATCAGGATGTGCTGGCATGCCTGCAAAGTGAGGTGAACTTGCTGGTGTGCAGGAAGCAGAATCGCTTGCGCGCGATTCTGCTTTGTGACGCTATATTATTTCGACTCGTTTGAAATGGCATCAATGAAAGGTACAGTTCGGTACCCTAAAAACATAAATGTGTATTTGTCATTATATAAGCGCATGCGCTTATGCCCGAAACTCAATTATAAGCGCCCCCCTTGAAATAAATCAATTTTATTATAAGCGCATATGCGCTACTATCCGGGGTGATACGGTATATTGCCACATTTTATCAGGGTTTCGGGTTCAATATACAGGTTTGGAAACAGTGGTTTGACGAGCCACCCGGAACGTGGGCAGGACTCGGTAGAAAAGACAAGCAGGCGCAGTGCAGAATCTGTGATTGTTGATCTATAGTGAGCGAGCTGTGTAGGATGTGACACGTGGCTCATCGAGAGCTCGAGTCCCTAACTTGAACGATAACTGTCCCCCCCTAGCCCACTGTTTTGCGGAAACTGTTCGCAGAAAGCGCTGTCTGGCCCCCGAAAACGGAGGGGTCCAGATACCTGTCCCCGCTAAGCTGAAAACCCGATGACTATTGATGACAGTCAGGGATCGCACGATGGGAGTTCGTTCCACAAAGTTGATGTCACGTGGGAAGAGAGACCAATCCTGAACGAGGAGCTAATCACGTGGCGACCAACAAGTGGTTACAGCTGTACACGCGGAGAAGAAACGGAGGAAGCACAGTCACGCGCCAGGTGGGGCCAGGGACTCGCGCGAATTTGAGCTCCATATGAACACTTGCGGAACATGGCGGAATTCTGGTGGTGTGGTGCTGTGCCGCCATATTATCAGCCAATCCAGTCTCGATACGGATTCTCAAGCCTCGTTGAGAGGTCCGGCGCTGGTTCCATTATGCCCGAATGGAATGGGATGGGAGCTGTTGAATCTCTGCGCCAATTCCCGCCATGCCTTCTTCCCGTAAAGCACCCCTCGGTATCCCTCCCCTCCCTCCCCTCACCAAGCACATAGGCGGGAGAGGGGAACCTCGAGACACTTGTGGGAGCGCATTTTTCACCCCACTCGCCATTCCCTGTGCCTCGAGAACTCCAACACTCATGAACGGCCATAACTCCAACGGTCGGAAAAGCAGCACCTTGTTCTTTGATTGCCTAGGTTGCTGGTTACGAAAAAAGCAACTTGCTCGGGACTAGGTTCGACTTGACTGTTTAATCGTCAGTGCGACAACGTCAAGCTCTTGTCGACATTGCTCTAGGTTGCTACATAGTGCTCGCCAAAAAGCCGAGTCTTGGGTGTGTTAGATATTTTGTGAGAAAGAATTACGAAGCAAGCCCAGCTGCAGCTTATGCAAACAGTTCATATACATGGCCTGGAAAGCTCGCAAGACAGTGCTTTTAGTAGCATGTGTGCTTATCGTAGCCCCAGCAGCAGTCCATCCTGCTTATTCCCATGATCATGATTCCTGGCAGACAAAGCCGAGAAATCGAGACAGAAGCAATGAGGATAACCAACCTCCGAAAAGTCGTCTTTCAAATAGTCAGCATCACAATGCCAGAGCACCAATGACAGCCGCTTATCGACAGAAGGCTTTCGATGACGATGTAGACAGCAGGGCTGGTACTCGAAGGACAGACACTAGGAACAATGAGCGTCGTCGTTCCGAAGCTCCTCTTTCTAAGGTTCCTCTTTCCGAAGGTCCTCAGAGCAACGGTCGGGATAATCGGCCACCCAGCGATCTGTTCAACGGCGATGCGGAACCTTTGACATATCAGCCGTTGATCGGCGTTCTCTCGCAGCCGGGAATTGCTGACAGCGGCGAGATTGCACGGGTATTCAACGCAACGGAAGAGAACCATTTCGCCAACTTGTCTTATATCGCAGCGTCTTATGTGAAATTCATTGAGGCCGGAGGCGCTAGAGTCGTGCCAATTATTTACAACGAGCCGCGCCGCCAGATTTTGAAGAAGCTCCGGCTGGTGAACGGGCTGGTGCTGCCGGGAGGCGACGCGAATAAACAAGGAAGGTTCCTCCGGACCGTGCGGCGTTTACTGAAGGTGGGCTTGGAAACCGGGCGAGCTGGAGGCAAGGATGGGATGGGATAGCTTGGGAATGGATGGGATGAAGTGGCGTTGGATGGGATGTTTGGCGTGGGTTTGGATGGGTTCGTCTGGGTTGGTATGGCAGGGTGTGGGATGGCATGCCATGCCACGCACGAGGGGACGTGTTTTTTTTAGGTTTTATTGGATCCAAACGGACCAAAATGCAAGTCCTGTCGATGCTCGAGTTCCTCATTCCAATGCCTTTCGTATTCTGTGTGTGAATTTGTGTGTGCTGCGTGCATCCGTGCCTCCCTGCAGATGGCCATGTCATTTAACGACAATGGCGACTATTTCCCTATTTATGCCGAGTGCCTCAGCTTCGAGATGCTCACCATCATTCTCAGCACGGTGGGTGATCTTGGTCATTACCCCTTTTTACACAGGGTCGTCCAAAATTACGCGCTAGCACTTGAAACCGCCGCCATGTCCCACCTCTGTTGCCTTGTCCTCCGTTCCGCCATACACAGCGCATGTTACGTCATACACCATCCATGTTATGCCAACACAGTGTATGTGTCATGTGCGTTAGATGTTACATCAACACAATGCATGTCACTTGATACATAAGCTGCAATGCGGGTTGTTTGAATGGGTCCAATGTGGTGCAGGGAGGTCGCAAGGTGTTGGAGCCTACCAACGCCAAGCGGCCCAGCACGCTGCAATTCGTGGGAGAGTGGGCCAAGGACAGAAACATGTTCGCATGGTGGGTTGCGTGCCTGATGGTGGGTTGCTCATTTGCATGTTAGAGGCGTATACTTGCATGTCTGGATAAGTATGCATATTAGCTGTTCTTCAGATTCCCATGGAGCTGCAGCAAACACTATTTTCATTCGTTTGTCATGGACTCTCATCATCACGCCTTCTGTTCGCGTTACAGGATGCGCCGAAGACTGGTGGATCGGCTGGAGAATGCAAATTAGCTGTCCGTCAGAGTCTGATGGAAGCTGCAGCACACATAATTTTCATTCCTTTGACACAGATTCTCATTGTCACGCTGTTTCGTTCCTTACAGGATGCGCCGAAGGCTGGTGGATCGACTGGAGAAAGAAAATCTGACCATGGAGAATCACAAGGTATGTTTCTGTGCCTCGACAATTTGTCACCGGACAATCACAAGGTTTATGGGAGAGGGTTTATTAAAAAACCTGGTACTGAAAGATGGCATTAATTGTTTCCTGTGGTTCAACAAGGTGTGCTGCGCGCAGCTCCGGTTTCTTTTGAGTCGACTCCGTATTGAAAAGTCCACATGCGAGGCGAGGAGTGCTGATCTTGGCTAGGCTGCCAGGCTGCCAACGCTGATATTTTGTTTGAGCTTTGACCCTCGTGTGCCCTATTTGCACATGGCAGTACGGGTTGACTCCCGAAACATTCAATGCTGATGAGGGTCTCTCGTCCTTCTTCAACATCCTCACCACCACTGCTGATGAGGATGGCAAGGTGCGTGTGGTGGTGGTGGTGGTGGTGGTGGTGGTTGTTATTGCTCATGCTTCCCTCCTGCCCATTCTCCAGTCAGCCATGTCTTTTCCCGTGCGCCCATCTCGCTCTCGTTACTGTCACATGGTAACCTCAACGTGACATACGTCCATCGCCCTCCCTCCATTGCCCTCGCTATCGACAATGCCGCCTGTCCTTCACCGTCCAACCACCATCCTCCCCTGTTCCATGAGTTCACCATGCTCCCCTCCTCCATTTACGATTGTGACACCAGATATCCCTATCCACAGTGAAGGCCAGGCGTTATGCCTGCGCTTCTCATTCATCAACCTCCATTGCCCTTCCACTGTGCTCCCATCCTCCCATCGACGATAGTGCCATCCGTTATACGCCTTTCATTGTGCAGGCCAAGCTCTACGCCTTCACTTCCCATTCACGACCATCCGCTGTCCCAGGTCTTAGCTAAATCCATCCTTCTCCCGTCCTCCCATCTCATGCGATCCCAACACCAGGAGTACATATCAACGGTGGAGGCCAAGAGATACCCCTTCACTGCTCTGCAGTGGCACCCCGAGGTATTGTGCTGAGATTCTGCACCCCGCATGCTCCCAGTATCTCACCTGGGCGCAGCTTCCTGTGCCTGTTGGTGGCGTTTGTGTCCCTCGATTCCTGGTGTTCTTACATGTCCGTGCATGCGCACACAATTACAACAAGCTCCTGTTTCTGCACCCCTCTCTACCCACCCGCCTCTTCGTTTCTTTTGGATCTGCAGAAGAATGCGTATGAGTGGGGCAACCCCATCTTCCCGCACTCTTCCGATGCTGTGCAGATCACACATGCAGCCGGCACCTTCTTTGCCAGGTGAGCCTCGCTGCATGTCTCCGTTGCTTCTTCTGATTTTTTTGCCTCTTTTCTGCCCCTCCTTGGCCCCTCTCCTGCCCTTTACACTGCCTTTTCCTGCCCCTCATCTGCCCCATGTCACATATTTTCCTGGTAGTTTTCCCGCCCTGTCAGATGCTTGTTGCCAATGCATGCATGGAATGCTCCACAATATCCCACCCACATTCACAAGAAACCACATCCTAATCGTGCGGCTCTCCGCCCATCACGGTGCAATGCTCCGGCCGCTCACATAAACCCCTTATTCCACTCTCTCCTGCCGTTGTGAATTCATTAGTGAGGCCCGCAAGTCCAGCCACAAACCACGATCAAGGCGCGAGTTGTACCGGTATCTGATATACAACTATGACCCTGTGTTCACAGGAAAAGAAGGGTGAGTACGTTGGCTGGGTAATAAATTCTATGCATGTTTGAACCTTTTTATGGAGCACCCAGCAAGGTTACATTGAACGCTTGCACCTTCGCTTATCTTGTCATCCTGCTCTGTTTTTGCAGGTCGTTCCACTATGATCAAGCGTACTTATTTCAGTGCAAGAATGCGAGTGACACTATGTGTTTCTTTCCCAAGGATAGACTAGGAACAGTACCCCAGAATATTGTAAATGACATGGAAGAAACAAACATTGTAGGAAGGGAAGTGGTATAATAGATTAACATGTTTATATCTTTTTGTAGTTCTGTCTATTATATCAATTGTAGTCACAGAACGAGATTCCCGGGTGACACTTGCGCAGCCACATCAGTTCCACGTCGGTACGCTTGCCTTTTTCAAAAGCGCACCGTCATCCTTCATGGCAATCTCGAGACAAATATTTGTTTGCTATTACATGAACATCCCACCCAAGCCATCAGTCATGATCCTAGAGCATCCCTCATCTGACGCCTCTCTTTAGGAAGATTTGGAAGTTTTGTTAGACCTTTCGTCCATTGTTATCATCGTCACTGGAAAAGCGTGAGCCATGGCGCTGTGCCGGCAACTCGTTGCTGTTCCGCATACTACGCGCCTCGTGGTTCTGGATCCGTCTTTAAGTTCCCGGAATTCTGGTCCTTTGTTCCTGCCGTCGCTACCTACAGCGCTAACGGGACGATTTGTAACGAGCAGAGGTGAGCAGTGCTGCGGTAGGCATAGAGCTCTTAACGTGACAGCGAAGACGTCTAAAGCGAGAAAGAATTCAGCAACGCGGACCAAGCAGCCGAAAAGGACTGAGAAACGCGTGTCCCGGACGAATGGCGAGTCATGGGATGCCACGTCAGCGGCGTCGGAGCCGGATTTTTCGTGGGCGAGTGGCACAACTGTAGCTTCTTTAGGTCGCCGTGAGGATGACGTGGACGCGGAAGGGTCTGACGTGGCGACAAGAAGCAGAGCAACAAGGGGTTTACGTGCTGACAACAAGAAAGAGCTTGAAAATGCAGGTACCGCTTCTGTCGCCGCGGCAGTCGCCGCATCAACCGCCGTCCTTGAAGCTGCACCAGTCGTTCGAGAGGAGGATAAGTCAGAGATAATCGCAGGCAAGCCCGCTGCTGACGTGGCTAGGGAGCGAGGACAGGATGAGGAAGAGGAAGAGGAAGAAATAGAGGAAGAGGAAGAGGAGTGGGATGAGGATTGGGAGGAGGAAGAAGATGGAGAGGACGAAGATGTGAGGGTAGAGTTGTGGGAGGGTGATTTACCCCCAATGACGGAGGAGGAGGAGCGGCAGCTGCTTCTAGAGGCGGAGCGGGAAATCGCGCAACTGGAGGCGGATAAATTGGCGGGAGTTGCGCCCGCGGCGGGACGCATGTTGGACGGTGATTGGCTGCAGGCGGAAGCGGAGATCGGCGCGGAGGCGGAGATGGGCGCGGGGAAAGCGGAGCGCGGGGAAGTGGCGGAGGCGGGTAAGGGCGCAGGGGAAGAGGCGGGGGGAGCGGTATGGAGGGGGAGATTGCGGCGCTGAGGCGGCAGCTGGCGGAGATGGAGAGGGATTTGGCGGAAGCCAAGGCGCGGGAGAGGGCGCAGGCAGCGATTGGAGAGATTAGGGAACAGGAAAACCCTGAACCCCGGAGTTTTGCGGCTGAACCCTCAGGGCGGATTGGAGAAAGAAAGGCGGGAGCAGTGAGTGTGAGAGACGAGCGCAACTCGGGATCGGTTCGCGACGAAATAGTGGAGGGAGAGGACAAGGAAGACGAAGAGGAGGAGGAGGAAGAGGACGAGGATGATTTGTCGCATTTGAGGAGGAAAGAGCAGAGGCGGTTGCGCGAGGAGATGCGGTGGCTGGAAGGGAAGGACGAGGAGGAATGGGAGGGCAACGACGCATCATCATCATCACCAGCATCAGACGCGGAGCGAAGAGGGTTACCAGCAGTGATGAGATGCTTCGACACGGCGAGGGTTTTCATTAAGGCCGGCGACGGCGGCGACGGAATAGTGGCGTTCCGCCGGGAGAAATTCGTCCCGGACGGCGGCCCGTCGGGCGGCAACGGCGGGCGGGGCGGCAACGTAATCATTACTGCCGACCCGGCGCTGAACTCCCTCCTGCCGTTCCGCCGGTCGGTGCACTTCAGGGCGACTCGCGGCGCGCACGGGAAGGGGAGCAACAGGCATGGAGAGGCGGGTCGGGACATAGAGATTAAAGTCCCTCCGGGGACTATTGTCCGCGAGGTGGTGGGGAGGGGGCCTGTGCGGGATTGGGGGGTGAAGAACGGTGGGGAGGAGTGGGAGGAAGGGGAAGGGGAGGCGGAGGGGACGCAGCAGGGGGAGGGAGAGGGGCGAGCGCTGCTGGAGTTGGTGCGCGTGGGGCAGAGCGAGGTGCTGCTGGCGGGGGGTAGGGGCGGACGGGGGAACGCGGCGTTCAAGACTGGGCGTACCAACGCCCCCCAGATCGCGGAGAAGGGGGAGGAGGGGCCAGAAATGTGAGTGCTGTGGGGGAAACAGGGGAGGAGGGTAGGGAGGGGGTGGGAATACAAGGGGGTGTGAGGGACAGGGGGGAGAGGGAAGATAGGGGTAGGGGGTAAGGGGATGGGGGAGGGGACGATGACCGAAAACCCAAGTCGCCTTGAGTGCGTGCTTTGCTTGTATCTCTCTGCTCCCCCACTCCCTCCCCCACTCCCTCCCCCACTCCCTCCCCCACTCCATCTCCCACTCCCTCCTTACCGATATGAACGCACGCACCCACGCCTCAGTAACTGCACGGAGCTGCGAGTGTTGGCAGATGCGGGCCTTGTGGGAGCGCCCAACACTATTGCTGGGTGACACAGTGCAAGCCCCCCGACCCCACAGCCCCCCTCTCTTCCCCCTTTCCACCCTTCCCGTCTCTCCCCAGGTGGGTGCACTTTTGAGGCGGCTCAAAATTCCTCTCTGCCCGCTTTCCCGCATCCTCCCCTCTTTCACGAGGTGGGTGCAGCTGGAGCTGCGAGTGGTGGCTGACGTGGGCATAGTGGGCGCGGCCAACACTCTGTATGGTTATGTTTCACCCCTTCACACCACACATAACCCTTACCCACTCTCCCCCCTCTCCTCTCCCTCTTCTCCCCAGGTGGGTGCAACTGGAGCTGCGGGTGGTGGCGGATGTGGGTATAGTGGGCGCACCGAATGCCGGCAAGTCAACACTGCTCGCCGCTATCTCTGCTGCACGCCCCAAGGTACTTCTCGACCTCCTCTGTGCCTGCCTGTCTTGGGCTCTAGCTTGCCCCGAGGTGGCTGTCTTGGGCTCTAGCTTGCCCCGAGGTGGCTGTCTTGGGCTCTAGCTTGCCCCGAGGTGGCTGTCTTGGGCTCTAGCTTGGCCCGAGGTGGCTGTCTTGGGCTCTAGCTTGGCCCGAGGTGGCTGTCTTGGGCTCTAGCTTGCCCCGAGGTGGCTGTCTTGGGCTCTAGCTTGCCCCGAGGTGGCTGTCTTGGGCTCTAGCTTGGCCCGAGGTGGCTGTCTTGGGCTCTAGCTTGCCCCGGGGTGGCTGTCTTGGGCTCTAGCTTGCCCCGAGGTGGCTGTCTTGGGCTCTAGCTTGCCCCGAGGTGGCTGTCTTGGGCTCTAGCTTGCCCCGAGGTGGCTGTCTTGGGCTCTAGCTTGCCCCGAGGTGGCTGTCTTGGGCTCTAGCTTGCCCCGAGGTGGCTGTCTTGGGCTCTAGCTTGGCCCGAGGTGGCTGTCTTGGGCTCTAGCTTGGCCCGAGGTGGCTGTCTTGGGCTCTAGCTTGGCCCGAGGTGGCTGTCTTGGGCTCTAGCTTGGCCCGAGGTGGCTGTCTTGGGCTCTAGCTTGGCCCGAGGTGGCTGTCTTGGGCTCTAGCTTGCCCCGAGGTGGCTGTCTTGGGCTCTAGCTTGCCCCGAGGTGGCTGTCTTGGGCTCTAGCTTGCCCCGAGGTGGCTGTCTTGGGCTCTAGCTTGGCCCGAGGTGGCTGTCTTGGGCTCTAGCTTGGCCCGAGGTGGCTGTCTTGGGCTCTAGCTTGCCCCGGGGTGGCTGTCTTGGGCTCTAGCTTGCCCCGAGGTGGCTGTCTTGGGCTCTAGCTTGACCCGAGGTGGCTGTCTTGGGCTCTAGCTTGGCCCGAGGTGGCTGTCTTGGGCTCTAGCTTGCCCCGAGGTGGCTGTCTTGGGCTCTAGCTTGGCCCGAGGTGGCTGTCTTGGGCTCTAGCTTGCCCCGAGGTGGCTGTCTTGGGCTCTAGCTTGCCCCGAGGTGGCTGTCTTGGGCTCTAGCTTGCCCCGAGGTGGCTGTCTTGGGCTCTAGCTTGCCCCGAGGTGGCTGTCTTGGGCTCTAGCTTGCCCCGAGGTGGCTGTCTTGGGCTCTAGCTTGCCCCGAGGTGGCTGTCTTGGGCTCTAGCTTGGCCCGAGGTGGCTGTCTTGGGCTCTAGCTTGGCCCGAGGTGGCTGTCTTGGGCTCTAGCTTGCCCCGAGGTGGCTGTCTTGGGCTCTAGCTTGCCCCGAGGTGGCTGTCTTGGGCTCTAGCTTGCCCCGAGGTGGCTGTCTTGGGCTCTAGCTTGGCCCGAGGTGGCTGTCTTGGGCTCTAGCTTGGCCCGAGGTGGCTGTCTTGGGCTCTAGCTTGCCCCGGGGTGGCTGTCTTGGGCTCTAGCTTGCCCCGAGGTGGCTGTCTTGGGCTCTAGCTTGACCCGAGGTGGCTGTCTTGGGCTCTAGCTTGGCCCGAGGTGGCTGTCTTGGGCTCTAGCTTGCCCCGAGGTGGCTGTCTTGGGCTCTAGCTTGGCCCGAGGTGGCTGTCTTGGGCTCTAGCTTGCCCCGAGGTGGCTGTCTTGGGCTCTAGCTTGCCCCGAGGTGGCTGTCTTGGGCTCTAGCTTGCCCCGAGGTGGCTGTCTTGGGCTCTAGCTTGGCCCGAGGTGGCTGTCTTGGGCTCTAGCTTGCCCCGAGGTGGCTGTCTTGGGCTCTAGCTTGCCCCGAGGTGGCTGTCTTGGGCTCTAGCTTGCCCCGAGGTGGCTGTCTTGGGCTCTAGCTTGGCCCGAGGTGGCTGTCTTGGGCTCTAGCTTGGCCCGAGGTGGCTGTCTTGGGCTCTAGCTTGCCCCGAGGTGGCTGTCTTGGGCTCTAGCTTGGCCCGAGGTGGCTGTCTTGGGCTCTAGCTTGGCCCGAGGTGGCTGTCTTGGGCTCTAGCTTGCCCCGAGGTGGCTGTCTTGGGCTCTAGCTTGCCCCGAGGTGGCTGTCTTGGGCTCTAGCTTGCCCCGAGGTGGCTGTCTTGGGCTCTAGCTTGCCCCGAGGTGGCTGTCTTGGGCTCTAGCTTGCCCCGAGGTGGCTGTCTTGGGCTCTAGCTTGGCCCGAGGTGGCTGTCTTGGGCTCTAGCTTGCCCCGAGGTGGCTGTCTTGGGCTCTAGCTTGGCCCGAGGTGGCTGTCTTGGGCTCTAGCTTGGCCCGAGGTGGCTGTCTTGGGCTCTAGCTTGCCCCGAGGTGGCTGTCTTGGGCTCTAGCTTGGCCCGAGGTGGCTGTCTTGGGCTCTAGCTTGGCCCGAGGTGGCTGTCTTGGGCTCTAGCTTGCCCCGAGGTGGCTGTCTTGGGCTCTAGCTTGCCCCGAGGTGGCTGTCTTGGGCTCTAGCTTGGCCCGAGGTGGCTGTCTTGGGCTCTAGCTTGCCCCGAGGTGGCTGTCTTGGGCTCTAGCTTGGCCCGAGGTGGCTGTCTTGGGCTCTAGCTTGGCCCGAGGTGGCTGTCTTGGGCTCTAGCTTGCCCCGAGGTGGCTGTCTTGGGCTCTAGCTTGGCCCGAGGTGGCTGTCTTGGGCTCTAGCTTGCCCCGAGGTGGCTGTCTTGGGCTCTAGCTTGCCCCGAGGTGGCTGTCTTGGGCTCTAGCTTGCCCCGAGGTGGCTGTCTTGGGCTCTAGCTTGCCCCGAGGTGGCTGTCTTGGGCTCTAGCTTGCCCCGAGGTGGCTAGTCCCGAAGCTCACTTCTGCTCTTTCTGCCTCATCTCTTGGCCTAGGTCAATCTTCTTTACTCCCATCCCCCACCCCTCTTTCATTGCATGCATGTTTCTTTCATCTCCTCTTCCTCCCCACCCCTAGGTGGCCAACTACCCATTCACCACTGTTGTGCCCAACCTTCAACTCTACCCCCTTGCTCCAGGTGGCGAACTACCCATTCACCACGCTCGTCCCCAACCTGGGGGTGGTGGCAGTGCCAGGGGGCTTTGACAGCATGGTGTGGGCGGACGTGCCTGGGCTGCTGGAGGGCTGCTCGCCCCTTTCCCGCCCTCTCACCTCTTGCTTTTCACTTTTCTCTCCTCCTCCCTCTTCCTCCACCCCCACAGGTGGCCAACTACCCATTCACCAAACTGGTCCCCAACCTGGGCGTGGTGGCGGTGCCAGGGGGCTTTGACAGCATGGTATGGGCGGACGTGCCTGGGCTGCTGGAGGGGGCACACGTGGGGCGAGGGCTGGGCCACCAATTCCTGAGACACACTGATTGTTGCCGCGTGCTGGTGAGATGACTTGCGCTGTGTGTGATTCTTTTGAGAGGTCTCATCATTGTCCGGTTTGCTGGAAGGGGCGCATGTGGGGCGAGGGCTGGGCCACCACTTCCTGCTTCTCGCCCTCCCTCCTCTTACCTCATCTTCTCGCCCTCCCTCCTCTTACCTCTGATGCTCCCACACCCACCCTCCTCCCCCCCCCTCCCTCACAGATCCATGTCATTGACGGCAGCAGCCCCCAGCCCTACCTGGAGCTCCAAGCAGTCACCAGGGAGTTAGCCCTCTTCTCGCCATCCCTAGCTGCCAAGCCGCGAGTGATCGTCTTCAATAAGATGGACCTTCCAGATGCGCAGCACCAGTGGGGAAGCTTCCAGGAAGCCGTGCGAGAGCTGGGGCTGGGAGGGGAGGGGGAGGAGGACGGGGTGTGGTGGGGAGGGGCGGAGGGGGAAGGGGAGGGGGAGGGGGAAGGAGAGGGGAGGAGGGGTCCGGTGGTGCTGAGCATGAGTGCTGTGACAGGGCAGGGCACACAGGAGGTGGTGCGGGCTGCGTATGATCTGTTGAAGCGGGTGCAGGGGGAGAGCGACGGATGGGGGGACGAGGAGGAGGAAGAAGGTGAGGAATGGTGCAGAGGACATATGTGATGGTGTGCGGTGTGTTGCTGTGTCTTGTATGGCACTCGCTACAAGGTCTCCTTCTGTTTCTTCCCGGCCTTCTATGGCCCCATCTCCGAGGCGGATGCAGTGAAACAAGTTCGGATTCTCTCTCCTCTCTCCTTGCTATGTCTTTCTCCTTCTCGCCTCTCACCCTCCCTCCTCTTGGTCGCTCTCATCCCTCCCAGCCCCTAACACCACCCGCCAGCGCCTCGGCTTAGCAGCAGAGGTGCAGCGCGCAAGGCGGGCGGCAGTGAACGAGTTCCGGGTGGCATTCGACGGCCACACGCGTGTGTTTGAAGTGACAGGGGAGGGGATCGAGCGATTCGTGCAGATGACCAACTGGGAGTGAGTTGAAGGGGTGAAGGGGGGGTCGGGGGGAAAACAAGGGAACGGGAGAGGAGCAGGGAATGAGAGCATGAGTGTTGGGGAACGAAGTGTGCAAAGACCCATCTCTTCTTCCCATTCTCCTTCTTTTCATCATCTATCTTTTCCTGCTGCAGGTACTTTGAGGCAGTGAGGCGATTCGCCCATGTGCTGGATGCGAGTGGCATCAACGAGGCTCTGAGGGCGCGGGGCGTGCGGGAGGGCGACACTGTTGTCATTGGACAGGTGGGCTCACTACTGGGGTACACTGGTGCATTCAGGCAGGTGCATTGAGGCAGGTGCATTCAGGCAGTGCGGCGCTTTGCTCACGTGTTGGATGCGAGTGGCATCAACGAGGCACTGAGAGCACGGGGCGTGCGGGAGGAGGACACTGTGGTCATTGGACAGGTGGGTTTCCATGTGGTTCGCTTGTCAGCGCTGGTGGTGGTGGGAATTCACAATCGGGCAAGTGGCTGTGGCACAGTGCCCGAGGCGTGCGACCCCAGGAGAGAACAGGACACAAGGAGGGCCCGGGCGTGCGAGTGGGCACAGGTATGGCCAGGCGCGTGTTGGAAGGGGGCAGCTATGTTGTTGCGTAGCTGGCTCATCCCTGGTGTTCTGGGATTGCTCCCCCATCCACTTTGCCCCTTCTCCACACTTCCCCCTCTCTACATTTCCCCCCCCGGTTTCCGTTCCCATCCACATCTCACACCTCTCCACTCTCCCCACATCTTCCTTTGCTCCCCTACCCCAGTTAGAGTTCACATGGAGGGAGTCAGATGACATTATGGAGGCAGTGGGGGGCGACTGGAAGCGCGGCATCAGGGGATCAAAGCTGTGGCCGCACTAGAGGGAGAATGGGGGGTGGAGTGAGCTGTGGCTTCATTTGGGGGAATGGAGGGGCGAGGGTGGCAGAGCGGGCTCTAAGCCTCCAAAGCTCAAAAGCTCACATTTTCAAGGGCAGTGGGGGGCGACTGGAAGCAGAGCATCAGAGGATTGAAGCTCTGGCCGCACTAGAGGGGTAGCGGAGGGGGTAGGGATAGGTGGTGGTGGAGGGGCGAGGGTGAGAGAGGGCAGGTTGGCGGACTGACTGCCTGCCTCTTAAGCTCAAGGGAGCATGAGGGGCGTCTCAAGAAGAGCAGCTCAAGGGCAGCTCAAGGGCAGCACTTCACATGCTCACAGCCGGAGGCCATGCGGACCGGGCTGCTGTGAGGCCATGGCCTCATGGGTGTGAATCACGACTGCTGTTACCCATGGCTCATTCGTGTCACATCGTCTCTGGACCAGTCCAGTGGTGGTGATAAGCTTAACGGTATGTGGCTGGCAGGCATATGTGGGAACAAGGATGGATGGTTTTTGATGGACATGGATTGACGGATTGTATGGTGATGTGCTTATGCTTATAGCCTCGACATTGGTTCTCTTCGGGTATGCATTCAATTCTCCGCTATTGCCTTGTGAAACTGGCGAACTGGCTCAAACAATCCATCCATGTGCATTCCACTCCGTCTGTGGGCCATGCTCGTGGCTTCAAGGGTTTCATATTTCGGTTTAGAAAGAATTGTCAAAATTTCAGACTTCTGTGTACCAGGTCTGCTCAACCAGATACAAACAGGCTATATAACTCAAAATTTCTAACTTCTGTGTACCAGATCAATCAAAACTTGTACAGCAGAATCTGGTGGCCCTGCTGCTGGCCAATCAAATGCAGCCACGCGTCAGACCAAGAACCTGGAGAGTCGTTTCTGTAGCTGCCAAGTCAACCAGTCACGTGCCAGAAAACGCAGCTGCGAAGTCAAATGAGATGCAGCAAACACAAGCAGCCACACTCACAGAAAATGGTGCGGTGAAGGCGGGCTTGAGAGTGTTGCACAAACACCGGAATTCACCCACTTGAGTGGCTGGGTTGTGGAAGAGTGGAGGGGGGTGTGAGAGACGAGGGAAATGAGGGAGCGGTGGTAGGGGAGGGGCGCGAGTTGAAGGGTGGATGGGGAGGGGGAGGGGGGGGGGGGGGGAGACGAGGCATCACCAGGGGGGAAGTTGAGGTATGGGAGGGGGAAGGGGATGAGGGGTGAGTCCGAAAGCGGGGAACAGGGGAGGATGGGGAGAGAGGGGGCGTGAAGGAAGAAAACAACAGAGCGCGGCAGTGATATGAAGGGAGAGAGGGGGGATGACGGGAGCGCGGGGAAGATGAGGGGAGAGGTGGGGATGAAGGGAAAGCGGGGAAGATAAGGGGAGAGCGAGGAGATGAGGGGAGCACGGGGAGAAGAGGGAAGAGCGGAGGCGGCGTCGAGGCCGTGGAGGGGAGCGTCACGGGCGGCGGCGGCTGGCTAGGCCGCTGCGACGCGGGCGCGGAGGTGGCGTCGAGGCCGCGGAGGGGAGCGGCGCGGGCGGCGGCGGCTGGCGAGGCCGCGGCGACGTGGGCGCGGAGGCAGCGACGTGGGCGCGGAGGCAGCGACGAGGCCGTGGAGCGGCGCGGGGTGGCGGCGGCTGGCGAGGCCGCGGCGGACTCAGGCGCGGAGGTGGCGACGAGGCCGCGGAGGGGAGCGGCGCGGGCGGCGGCGGCTGGCGAGGCCGTGACGACGCGGGCGCGGAGGCGACGACGAGGTCGCGGGGGGAAGGCGCGGGCGACGGCGGCTGGGGAGGCCGCGGCGACGGCAGGCGCAAAGGCAGCAGCAAGGCTGCGGGAAAAAGGAGAGCGCTAAGGGGGGGAGGGGGGAAGGTGGCGGAGGAGCCGAAAAAAAAAATGAAAAGGGAGGAGGCCGGGGTTGCGGTGGCCGGGTGGGCCTTTGGAACGAGAGTAGGCCTAGGATAATGAGCTCTGATACCATGTGGGAAATAAGAGTTAGAATAGAAGTTGATACTTTGATTGAGAATGATGGGGGTATACATAGTTTTGGATACTAGCCTAGGTTGGCATTATTGGACCCCAACCAAGAGGTTGGGTTGGGTGATTATTGGTGGGGTCCAATAATGTTGGCCAAGGTGGGGTTGGGCCAACATTATTGGAGGGAGCCAATAATTCTACCCAACCCAACCTTTTGGTGTCCAATAATTGGACCAAGGTTGGGTTCCAACCTACAAACTGGGTTACCCCTGTTTGTACACCCAAACTAAGTTTGGGTGCTTATCTCTAGCCTATCCTATAGCATATATGCAGGTTGCAAGAGGAGAGATATTCTAACACAACCCCATTAACCTGCAGATATGTGGAAAGGCTTGAGAGTAGCAACCTCTGAATCAAGACACGCCGGGAGGGGCGAGGCCGATGAGACGGAGAAGAGCAGAGTGCGCAGGACGGAGAAGGGCTTTGGTAAACATATCAGCCAAGTTGGCCGCAGCAGCGATCTTGCGGACGGCAATGAGGCCGTGCTGGACGAGGTCACGGATGAAGAAGTAGCGGAGCTCGATGTGCTTGGAGCGGCCGTGAAAGACTGGGTCCTGGGTGAGATGGATGGTGCTGGCATTGTCACACCAGAGTGTGGGACAGCGCTGCGGGGCACCAAGCTCGGCTAGAAGAAAACAGAGCCAACGGGACTCTTGTGCAGCCATGGTGCCAGCTTAGAGTTCGGCTTCGCAGGAGGAGAGGGCAACGGGAGATGAGCGAGTAGAACGCCAGCTGATAAGTCCGCTGCCAAGCATGAAGCCATAGCCTTGTGAGGAGCGGCGGTCTGGCTGGGAGTCCGCCCAGGAGGAGTCACTGAAGCCAGAGAGAAGGGGAGGGGAGGAACCACCCAATGTGAGGGCGTGATCCTTGGTGCCTCGGAGGTAGCGGAGAACTCGCTTGGCGGCAGTCCAGTGTTCCTCAGTGTGGCGGCCGGAGCCGATGAACCGAGCAAGGACGCTGATGGGGTAGGCAAGGTCAGGGCGAGTGCACATCATCGCGTACATCAGAGACCCGACGAGTTCGGCATAGGGACGGGAGGAGGCGGAGGGGGAGGTGGGTGGCGCCAGCTGGTGACCGAAGGGGAGGTTTGGCCTGCGCCATCTCGAACTTCTCCAGCACCTGGCCGATGTAATGGGACTGGGAGAGGGTGATGGTGCGAGCGGATCGATCGCGGGTGATGGTCATGCCGAGGTAGTTCTGCAGCGGACCAAGGTCCTTGCACTTGAGACGGTCCTGAAGGGACTGCTTCACCTGGTCCATGTCGGTCCTGGAATCAGCAAGCAGGATCATGTCGTCAACGTAGACCGAGATGAAGAAGCGACGAGGGGAAGAACGGATGAAGAGGCTGGCATCGGAGTGGGAGGCAGAGAAACCGAGGGACTGGAGAGTGGCAGACAGCTTTGCATGCCATTCTCGTGGTGCCTGCTTCAGACCGTAGACTGGTCGACGAAGTTGCCAGACAGTATTGCCGGGGAAAGCAGCGTGAAACCCGGGAGGTCGGCGTAGGAAAATACGCTCGTGCAGCTCGCCTTGCAAGAATGCATTGGAGACGTCCATGGAGTAAATCTCCATGTTGTCGCGCGCACCAACGTCGAGAAGGGCACGAAGGGTAGGTGGCTTAACGGTAGGGGCGAATGTGAACCAGTAGTCCTCAGCCCAAGTCTGTGTAAAGCCCTTGGCGACATAGCGGGCCTTGTAGACTGGTTCTTCTCGCGGCAGCTGCTTTACTCGGAAGATCCACTTGCCCTCGACAAGGTTGGCGTCAGGAGGGAGGGGCACGTCGATGAAAGAGTCGTTGCGGATGAAGGCCTCACATTCCAGGAAGATGGCGGCTATCCATTTGTCGGCATCTGGGCAGGTGATAGCTTCCTGGAAGGTGGAGGGGACGAAGATGGTGGGAGCGGAGACTGCGGCAAGGATAAGAGCGCCGAGGAAGCAAGGGTAGAGGGGGGTGAGAGAGGGAGTGTGGCGCTGGACCATAGTGAGTTCTTCATGGAAGTCCTCTAGCAGGTAGAGGGAGGGAGAAGGCGGTGTGCCAAGGATGGGATCAAGGGAGCGGGTGTGCATGCGAGGGAGGAGGAAGGGTGAGGAGCGGGCAGTCGCCCTCCGCCGCTGCTGCTGCTGCGGCTGCTGCTCCTCCTGCTGCTGCTGCCCCTGCTGCTGCCCCAGCTGCTGCCCCTGCTGCTGCCCCGGCTGCTGCTGCGGCTGCTGCTGCCCCTGCTGCTGCGGTGGCTGCTGCCCCTGCTGCTGCTGCTGTTGCTGCTGCTGGGATGAAGGAGAGGGAGGGGAGGAGGGGAAGGGGAGAGGGGGGGCGGCGGAGTGGGCAGGGGATGCAGGTGCAGTAGGATCGTAGATGTCAGCAGAGGAGGGCGGTGGAGGTGGAGCGGGGAGAGGTGGTAGTAGAGGCGCAGGAGGGAGGAGGGGAGGGAGGACAGTGTCAGTCCAGGCGAGAGGACGGGTAGGAGAAGGGAGGGGGTCTGGTGGTGGAGAGGAGTAGTACGGGGTGGTTTCGTCAAAGACGATGTCAACGTTGCGGATGAGGTGATTGGAGGGAGGGTGGAGGAAGAGGTAGCCAGGCGAGTCGCGGTTGTGTCCGAGATAGACACACTCGAGGGCGCGAGAAGCGAGCTTGCTGTGGGTGCGGTCGGAAGGAGGGATAAGAACGTATGCCTTGCAGCCCCAGACACGGAGACCGGCAACGTCAGGTTTCGTGCCTGACCAGAGTTCCGTGGGGGTGATGGCAGTGTGTTGAGGATGAGAGTGAAGGTTGAGGAGGAGGGCAGCATGGAGCAGAGCATAGCCCCAGAGGGAAGGAGGGGTGGAGGCGTGAGCGAGGAGGCAACGAGCGATTTTGGTGATTTCGCGAATGCGGCTTTTTGCGACACCATTCTGCTGCGGGGAGTGGGGAAGGGTGTGGGTCTGTTGGATGCCATGGGTGGCGCAGTAGTGGGAGAGGGTGCGGTTGAGGAATTCTCCGCCGCCGTCAGAGTGAAGGCGGCCGATGGGACGGTTGAAGTGGGCGCGGCATTGCTCTGCCCAGTGGGTGATCACAGTCGGTGCCTGGTCTTTCGTGTGGAGGAGGAAAATGGAGGAGTAGCGGCTGTGGTCGTCTACGAGGACCAGCATGTAGCGATGGCCCTGACGGGAGCGAGTGGGGGAGGGTCCCCAGAGGTCCATATGGACTAGGTCAATGGGAGCGGGATCAAAGGATGGGTGGCTGTGAAGGAGGCGAGAGGTGATGGCAGTGCGGAGAGCGGCGAAATTGGGGTGGCCGAGTCGGTGATGTAGCAGTACAGCGGGGTGGGAGAGATGGTCGGAGGTGGAGGGGGTTGGAGTGAGTGAGGGTGGGAGAGGGGGAGGTGGCTGCTGCTGTTGCTGCTGCGGCGGCTGCCCTTGCTGCGGCGGCTGCTGGTGCTGCTGCTGCTGCTGCTGCGGCCCCTGCTGTTGCCCCTGCGACGGTGGCTGCTGCTGCTGCGGTCCCTGCTGCTGCCCCTGCTGCAGCGGCTGCTGCTGCTGCCGCTGCTGCTGCTGCGGATGCTGCCCCTGCGGCGGCTGCTGTTGCTGCTGCTGGGGTGGAGGTGAGGTAGGGGGATGGGAAGTGTGAGTGGAGGTGCCAGCACGAGTGTTGACATGGCAGAAGGATGGCCAAGGGGTGCGGAGAGTGTAGAGGCGAGTGCGGGGGCAGAGGGGAATGCGTAGAAGGAAGCGACTGGTGGCGGTGTGATAGAGGTCACAGTAGGTGGCATTACCTGGATAGACGGCAGTGATACCTGCATTCTGGATTTCCCGATGGGAGAGGAGGTTGTTTCGGAGAGTGGAGATGTGGAGACCAGTTACCTTACCGGAGGGGAAGATTGTGCAGGGGAGAGTGGAGAGATGTGTCATGGGATGGTGAAACTGCTGTCAGCACCGTGAACTTGAGTGGGAGGAGAGAGGGGTGTGAGTGTACCAGCATCCTTGAGAGCAGTCTCAGTGGCCCCACTATCAAGGACGAAGTCCAGAGTGGGTGGGGAGGAGGAGGAAGACACCGAGTACTGGAAAGTGGTTTCATTAATGGTGGAGGGGTACATGGAAGGAAGAGAGGGGGAAAGAGCAATGTTGCCAAGAAAACTTTCCTGGGTGAGGGGAGTGACAATACTACCAGGAGGAGGTGGGGCACCCCACAGGGGAGCAGGGGAGGTCTGAGCAGCTGTGGCTGCCGTGCTGAAGTTCAGCTGCTGCTGCTGCCAGGGGGGAGTGCTGGGTCCCCACTGGGGTGGGAGCCCGGGTTCCCATGGGGGCTGCTGCTGCTGCTGCTGCGGTGGTTGCTGCTGGAACAGCTGCTGCTGCTGCTGTGGTTGCTGCTGGAACAGCTGCTGCTGCTGTTGCTGCTGCTGCAGAAGATGCTGCTGCTGAAGATTGAGGAACGGCGTGGGGGGAGCAAGGAGGCGGAGGTGGGCGGGGAGATAAGCAGGGTGGGTTTGAATGTCAGCAGGGGAGGGACGCGGGGAGACGGTACCCCAGCGGGGAGGTGTGCCAACATTGCCCCGTGCGTACCAGGCATCATCGAGAGCCTTGAAGCAAGTGTTAGGGGGATGGTTGGTTTGACCGCAGGGTGTCCCTGCCCGGGGACCGTAGCGACGGACATAGGTGCAGGGAGGGAGAGTGCCGGGGCGGGGTCCGCGGTTTCCAGAGGGACCGCCCTGACTGGGGGTGCCGTGCTCATCCCCAGTAGAGCCACCACGGCTGCTTGCGCTGCTGCTTCCTTGACTTCGGTATCGATGATCCACTGTTCAACAGAAGTGAGATTGGCCATGGGATTGGCCTCGGTAAAGGCGTGAAGGTGGGATTCATAGTCTGGGGTGAGGTTGAAGAGGAGGCGATGGATTTGGAGGGGTTCGGAGAGACCGGCTTGGCGGGCTTCGAGGAGATCAGCTACCTCTCGCATGCGGCCGACATAGTCTACTGCTCCGTCACAGGTGGCGAGGGTAATAGAAAAATATTCCTGGAAGAGGATTCCCACTGAGCTGATGTCGCGGCGTTCGAACATAGCATGGAGTTCTGCCCATATCACCGAGGCACGGAGTTCCCGGGCCTGGAAGCGGCGCATGAGGGAGTCGGGGAGAGCACCGAGGATGACGGTGCATGCTCGGTTGTCAGCGGCTGACCAGGCGATGAACCTAGGAGTGAAGGTAGCCATATCGTCGTTGTATTTGGCGACGACGGCGAGGTGAGCATTGCGGCCAGCAACGGCCTGGGCGTAGGCATCAGCTGCTGCATCGTACTCGGCTTTGCGGATGAGGTAGGCACGGCGACGCATAATGAAATCTGCATCTGCGGTGGCTTGGTCGGCGGCGGTCTGGAGCTCGGGCTCAAGGGGAGGGTCGCCAGGAGGGGGAGGGAGAGGAGGGGTCTTGCCGGGGTGGTCAGGTTCGGTGGGGGGGAGGGCATGGGGGCGGCGGAGGATGACGTCAAGGACGCGGTAGGGGGGGATCCATGCATCGTTGAGGACACGTCGGATGCTGCCGACGAACGAGTGCCAGTTAATGGCAGATTTGTCGGCTGCAAGCTGTAATTTGTCAATGGAGGAAGTATCGATAGGAGGAGGGAGGGGGGAGGGGGAGGGCATGAGGTTAGCCATGAGGGACGGCTGCGGGTGGACCCGCAGTGGTCACGGAAGCGCGCAGGTGGCGGCAGCTGGTGGGGCTGCTGTGGCGCGGGTGCGGAAGCGGTGGGGAGGTGGAGGAATGGCGCAGGCGGCGGTGGTCGGCGCGGAGGCGGCTACGAGGCCGCGAAGCGGCGTGAGGTGGCGGCGGCTGGCGAGGCCGTGGCGGACGCAGGCGCAGAGGCGGTGACGAGGCCGCGGAGGGGAGCGGCGCGGGCGGCGGCGGCTGGTGGGGCCGCGGCGACGCGGGCGCGGAGGCGGCGTCGAGGCCGCGGAGGGGAGCGGCGCGGGCGGCGGCGGCTGGCGAGGCCGCGGCGTCGCGGGCGCGGAGGCGGCGTCGAGGCCGCGGAGGGAAGCGGCGCGGGCGGCGGCGGCTGGCGAGGCCGCGGCGATGTGGGCGCGGAGGCGGCGTCGAGGCCGTGGAGGGGAGCGTCGCGGGCGGCGGCGGCTGGCTAGGCCGCTACGACGCGGGCGCGGAGGCGGCGTCGAGGCCGCGGAGGGGAGCGGCGCGGGCGGCGGCGGCTGGCAAGGCCACGGCGACGTGGGCGCGGAGGCGGCGACGAGGCCGTGGAGCGGCGCGGGGTGGCGGCGGCTGGCGAGGCCGCGGCGGACGCAGGCGCGGAGGCGGCGACGAGGCCGCGGAGGGGAGCGGCGCGGGCGGCGGCGGCTGGCGAGGCCGTGACGACGCGGGCGCGGAGGCGACGACGAGGTCGCGGGGGGAAGGCGCGGGCGACGGCGGCTGGGGAGGCCGCGGCGACGGCAGGCGCAAAGGCAGCAGCAAGGCTGCGGGAAAAAGGAGAGCGCTAAGGGGGGGAGGGGGGAAGGTGGCGGAGGAGCCGAAAAAAAAATGAAAAGGGAGGAGGCCGGGGTTGCGGTGGCCGGGTGGGCCTTTGGAACGAGAGTAGGCCTAGGATAATGAGCTCTGATACCATGTGGGAAATAAGAGTTAGAATAGAAGTTGATACTTTGATTGAGAATGATGGGGGTATACATAGTTTTGGATACTAGCCTAGGTTGGCATTATTGGACCCCAACCAAGAGGTTGGGTTGGGTGATTATTGGTGGGGTCCAATAATGTTGGCCAAGGTGGGGTTGGGCCAACATTATTGGAGGGAGCCAATAATTCTACCCAACCCAACCTTTTGGTGTCCAATAATTGGACCAAGGTTGGGTTCCAACCCACAAACTGGGTTACCCCTGTTTGTACACCCAAACTAAGTTTGGGTGCTTATCTCTAGCCTATCCTATAGCATATATGCAGGTTGCAAGAGGAGAGATATTCTAACATGACTCACCTCTGCAGCTTGACTCACCTCTGCAGCTTGACTCACCTCTGCAGCTTGACTCACCTCTGCAGCTTGACTCACCTCTGCAGCTTGACTCACCTCTGCAGCTTGACTCACCTCTGCAGCTTGACTCACCTCTGCAGCTTGACTCAGGGTACATTCCGCTGTGGACACTGTCCCAATCGATGTGTCCCAATCGATTGTGACGCGTACGTACAGCATATGCTGCCAGGTGTCAGAATGCCGGGCCGCCCGTGGTTGTCGCCAAATGTATTTTGGGTGACGTGAAACACGGAGCAGTCGCCAGCTAATTGCAACACAGTCCATCAGTCGCACGCGGTGCCAAATGTCAACACATGCAGCATGTATCTAGACGACATCTCCCCAAAACCCACTATCCCCATCAACGCGTACACTGCGTAGTGATTGGTCCAGACGACACACCCGGAATTATTGACAGGGACGCGCACGTCCCCGCGAGCGCGCCTTCCCCCAGCTCCAATGCTCCTTCCCCACAACTCCTCCACCTCCCAACACCTTACGGGTTCATCTTTGTGCACCATCCTTCCTGTTCCAATCTGTTCATTTCTCTCTGCTCCCGCTCCCTAAAGATCTAGATCTAGAAGCACTCTATCCGCCAGCATGGCTCGTAAGCGTAAGGGGCAGGCCCTTAACGACTGCCCCAAGGATCTTGACGACATTCCTTACATCCGCTGGATGAACCAGCAGATCGCCAACGGGCGCCATCCGAAGGGACTATCCGCGCCGCCCGTGCTTGACGGCCATGGATCCAGTGCACAGTCGCCCAGTGCGGCCCCGTCACGTGTGCGTCGTCAGCCTGCAAGGACGGCTGCAACACACCGGCTTGTCGTGGAGCAAGATGCGTACGATGACGATGATGACGACCCCGAACAAGGCCTCGACACCGACGACGACGAGGAGGAACCGGAAGACGCTGGGATGTTGCCCAGCGACGGCGACGATGAAGATGAGGACGCCGAGGACGACGCGGAGGAGGAAGCGCAACCTGTGTCTGTGACTACGAAACGGAGCGCCGCACGCGCATCTGGGACGAACAAAGGCAAAGGCAAGGCGGCGCCACCACCGCCACGCTAGGAGCCACGGAAGAAGCGGTCGGCTGCACCAGTCGAGAGGGACTTATGGTCGGACAAGGAGAGCACCATATTCGCCGCGGCGAAGTGGTTCATGAAAGAGGAGCTCGAGCCTCTCAAGGGGAAGCAGGGGACGCAATACTGAGTCCGACTACTCGCGCACATCAAGGAGTCGAACCCTGGATGGTGCAGGGGTGTCAACGCGTTGCAGAAGCAGTGGCGTAACTTGACGCTCCTCTGGCGGGAGTACAAGCGTGGCGACGGGGGGTCAGGCCACGGCTCGGTTGAGAAACCACCGTGGTATCCGTACCTGGAGCTGCACAACCAGGACACCGCCGCAGCCGCACCGCATGCGGTGGACGGCGGCGGCGCCACGGACGTCAACGTGCCGGCCGGCATGGAGGTTCCAAGTTCGTCTCAGCCAGGCACGTCAACACCAACCTTTACGGGTGAGTCGTGCTTCTATCACCTCTAGCTTGATATGCGTTTGACTTATCGTAGTTTGAATACGATGAATCCGTTTATTTTATTCGCCAATATGCAGGTTACATCAAACAAGGGTAGTCGGACTAATCGAAACTACTATTTTCCTTGCTCCTCTATCACAGCTCCGCCGCCGCCGACCACCGCAACACCTAGGCGCGCACGGGTGCATGAGACGGCTACCATGCAAGCAGCCAAGCTGGTCTCCGCAACCATCAAGGATTGTCACGGTGACGCGATGACGCGTATTGAGAGCCTCGTCCGTGAATGGATGGCGCAGGACATGCGACTTGCCCGCGAGCGCATGACTGAATCGGCGCCCCCGGACGTGCACCGTGCGCCGCCGGATTTCAGCCCTCCTCCGCCACGCGGGGAGTCCGCACCACCTCCCGAAGCCGCACAGCATGGCGACGATGTTGGCGACGTCAACACCGTCACTCCGGGTGCTGAGGATGTGGAGATATGGGTGCGCGGCGCCGACGATTAGCGTAAGAGTCCTGCAGGGCCTCACCCAGTCTTTTCCGCCTCTCTCTCAGAGCCTGTTGTCCTTGTGTGTCGCAATGGCACCCCGTGTCCACCAAGAGTCGCGGTTGCGGGGCAGATTGAACCAGGCCATGTTCTTGCGCCTAACGACTGTGGACATGCTCAAGTATGGCGCGGTTGATCCTGAATATGTCTTGGAAATCGTTCTCCCGCATGTGTTGCAGGTCTTCAACCCACAAAGCATGACGTCGCCGCCGTACACTCGCTCTGTGACGGCGGTTCTCCCCGGTGTCGTCCCCGGACGATGAGGACTGCTCGTCCGCGTCCTCAAACACACCGGACTCTATGAGGCCTACGAAGGACTTCGCGACATTTTCGTAGAAAATGGTGTAGTAGTAGGTGACCCAGGCGACGAGGAGGCGTAGGATGAAGGGGATGGCTCTAGGCTCTGCCATCATGCGTGGATTATGCGTGTGTAGTAATGGTGTCTGTGCTATGTTTGATTATAAAAATGACGTACTAGAGGATGATTTGCAGATGTATGTGCCGTTGAGGCAATTATTGGCACTGCGGAGGAGTACTGTACCCTCCGCGGCCTCCCTGGACATCACCAAGGATCTACCGCGGACCTGGAGGTGTTGGTGTATGTGCTGCGCAAGAACGAGTGGGCATGTTTATTCTATGACCAATCACAAACGTTCGCACATAATTGTCGCGCGTCTGTATAGAGTCGCAATACATCGATCGATTGGGACATGCAAACTCGAGACATTTGAGCGCGACTCGGCCAAATCGTGATTGGGACACATCGATTGGGACATGGTCCACAGCGGAATGTACGGTACCCTCACCTCTGCAGCTTGACTCACCTCTGCAGCTTGACTCACCTCTTGAGGTCGATCTATCCGGCCTACTTCCTTAAACACATTTAATGCTCCTCTTTATCGGAGTCCATCCTGGACATGTACTTGGTGACATTCTCAAGGTCCCCAATCTCAGTGTAGCGGTCGGCAATGACACCATAGGTCTCTGTGCCCCCCGTGTACTATGTAGTTATGTCCCAACTTTGCTCCACTCGCAAATGAGGGCAGCGCGTTCATTACGGACAGAATTCTGCGTATGGTACCGGTACCGGTAGTATATACCGAATGCAAGTCACAGAAAGCGTAAACAACCCTGTAAAAAGGTACACCACATTGCGCAATACACCTAACCAATGGTCCTCATCGTCAGACTCCATCCTTGGATGGAATGTACCGGGCATAGTACTTAGCGGTATTCTCACGGTTGCCAATCCCAGTGCAACAGTCGGCACACCCAGGGTGGTGGCCAATGGACAAAATCTGCCTTTATACGCAAGTCACAGAGAGTGGACACAGCCTATTACACAACGCCCCTAATGGTCCTCATCGTCAGACTCCATGCGGGAAATGTACCGGTCATAGTACTTAGCGGCGTTCTCAAGGTCCCCAATCTCAGTGTAGCAGTCAGCAATGGCGCCATACGCCTCTGTGTCGCCTGCATGCTCGCCTGAGCTGCACGACTTGTCCAGCACCCTCTGGTGGTACGCTATTGCCTCCCGGTACTTGCCCTGCCGCTGCAGTGATGCGCCTGGGGAATGGCGGGGAGGACAGGAAACAAGGGGGACAATAGAAGGAGAGCGAGGCAAGAAGAAACATGAGAGGGAGAGAGTGGGAGAGGGTGAGAGATGGTGGTGGGAAGTCAAGAAAAGGAGAGCATGTGCCTGTGCCATAGGCCTCTGTGTCCCCTGCGCATGCTCGCCTGAGCTGCACGACTTGTCCAGCACCCTCTGGTGGTACGCTATCGCCTCCCGGTACTTGCCCTGCCGCTGCAGGGATGCTCCTGAGAAATGGAGAAGCAGAAAGGGAACAAGCGGGGGAATCAAAGGGGGGGATCGAATGGGAGACGGAGGCAAGCAGGAGGGAGAGAATGGGGAAAGGGTGAGAGATGGTGGTGGGAAGTCAAGAAAAGGAGAGCACGTGTGCGTGCCATGGGCCTCTGTGTCCCCCGCATGCTCGCCTGAGCTGCATGACTTGTCCAGCACCCTCTGGTGGTATGCTATTGCCTCCCGATACTTGCCTTGCCGCTGCAGCGATGCCCCTGAGGAATGGCGGATGAATGGGAAGCAGCGGAATTGGAAGAGGTGGGGATGGGGAGTGGGGAATGGAAGAGAAGAAGGTGATTAAAAGAACGAGAGTGAGACAGCGATAGAGGAGAGAATTGGTGAGGACCTTAAGGGATGATTTAGGGATATAGTGTGGCACATACCAGCCCACAGTGGGTGGAAACCTGCATCACGAGGCAGGCATGAGTGGTAACCCATGCAACATGCAATGGTACCCCATGCATCAAACCAGCACACTCATGCACCAAAACGCCTGAAAAGGGGCAAGCATCAACCCAACACCTAACGCTAGTCCACGACAAGCAAGCGACCGCACTCACAACACCCACGAGCCGCCTTTTTTTCCTCCAAGCAATGCCCCATCCGCTGCGCCTGCTTTGAGACGTCTAGTATTGACACGTCTCAAAACACAACCAGACACATGCAGCAAGGCAGCGCACTCACCACAGCCACGGGCCGCCTTCTTCTCCTCCAAGCAATCCCCCATGCGCAGCGCCTGTGGCAGGCTTTTGAGACGTCTCCACAGACGTCAAGATACATGACCCAGCACCTAACATCCGCCCAGGACCAGCAAGCCACGGCACTCACCACAGCCACGGGCCGCCTTCTTCTCCTCCAAGCAATCCCCCATGCGCAGCGCCTGTGGCAGGCTTTTGAGACGTCTCCACAGACGTCAAGATACATGACCCAGCACCTAACACCCGCCCAGGACCAGCAAGCCACGGCACTCACCACAGCCACGGGCCGCCTTCTTCTCCTCCAAGCAATCCCCCATGCGCAGCGCCTGCTGCAGCCCCTTCTCAAACTGCACAAACGCCGCCGCGTTGTTCCCCTCGCGCAGGTACCTCTTCCCCTCCTTCAGCAGCCGCAGCACCCCCTGCTTCTCCTCTGAAATCACCGTCCCCCCCTCCTTCTTTACTGCCTCTGGTGGCGCGCTCACAGCAGCCACAGCAGCGGCGGCGGCGGCGGGCTGGCCGACGGGGGCGTAGGAGAGGGAGGGCGCGTAGGACTCCACGCGCGCCTGCTTGCGCAGGCTGATGTTGATCTGCCTCAGCTGCGCGTTGATTCGCTCTACCTCCGCCTTGCGCACTCGTGCCACCCACCCTGGGATGGGGATGGGGATGGGGATGGGGATGGGGATGGGTGGGCATGTGTGAGCGGCTTTTGAGGCGCCTCAGCAGTGCTTGCGCAAGCTGATGTTGATCTGCCTCAGCTGCGCGTTGATTCGCTCCACCTCCGCCTTGCGCACTCGTGCCATCCAGCCTGGAGCCATGGGGATGGGGATGGGAAGGGGCATGAGGACGGGGTAATGACATGCGTACTTGCTACTATATTACTGGAGTGTGGCAGTATGGGTTGAAGGGAGGGAAGGGGATTGAAGGGAGGGACGCAGTGACTGAGTAGGGAGGGGTAGTTGAAAAGTGGGTAGTGAATGAGTAGGGAGTGAGTGAGTGACAAATGCGTTGCTTGAAGTGCTTCGAAGATGCGGAGAGGCCACAACACAGAGAGCGCGGGGGAAAGGGAGCGCCTGAACCAGCAGGCGGGGAGACGGGATACAAGAGCTGACAATATAATTTCTTGGCCATCAAACTCGTTGCACCTGGTTCAGGTTTAAGGTGAAGTTCAACTGCAATCTGCCTTAACTCCAACTTCCCACCACTACACGATCACTGACAGTCACCTCCCCCCTCCGTCGAATGCAGCTCACTCACATGCCCCAACCAGTCCCAACCACGTCCCATCTAGCTCGATGCTGCCACCCACCTCCCACACCGGAGGCCTCTCAAAAGTCAGAACCTATCTACCTCACTGCGACCTGCCACGCACCTCCGACGCCCGCGCCGATGAGCGCGATGAGCTGCACGACGCACGCCACGGCGATCACCGTGTTCAGGTCCGCTCCGCCCAGCTCCTGCGAGCACGCGTCCGCCAACGCCGCCGCCGCTGCCGCCACCGCGTCTGCATCCGCTGCAGTCTCCGCCAGGGCGGCAGGGATGGGGAGCGCTGCGAGGAGTGCCCACAGACCGCCACCTGCTGCTGCTATTGATGCGGCTGCTGTGATGGTGGTAGTGGAGGTGGTGGTCTCGGTCTGGCGTGAGTGGGAAGGAAGAGGATGCGGGAGGTGGGAGAGAGAAACACATACAGCGCACGCGGATAAGGAGTTGCTGGTGACGGGGAGTAACAGCGATCGTAGTGCAGTCGGAACCTTGGCAACGTCGCATTCGCGCGTGGATAACATGCAGAGACTGGTAATGTGCGCATTGAGGGAGCCACTGGGAGCTCTGTGCGAGGCTCTTTAAGACCGTCAGTGAGAGAGTTTGTTTTTCTGATGAAGATAGCTTCGTGGCATCGCTCTCACCTTGTTGGGGTGGCTGGCGTGGCAGATATGTCTCGCTACATGGTTCTTGCGACCTGCTGAATGTGAATGTGTAAAGAAGGGAGGACGATGCAAGATGAAACGCGTTATTGATCTGAAATGACAGCAGCAGCCACTCCCTAAAAACATTATCGTTTGATGTACTTCAAACTGTGGAATCCGGCAGATCGCGTCGTCGAAAGAACGTACCTTGTAGCAGCGACACGTGGGAATGCGCATGATGCCTCTTCTGGGTGGGTAATCTGCACGCCACGGACAGCGCGTGGGCGGACGCTACGCGCGCGGAGGCCAACATGAGTGCGGATTCGCAGGTTCTGGCTCAAGAAAAAAACCTACGATGCTTGGACGGGAGCGGATGCAGCGGACGCAGCGGAGGAGCTATGAAGTTCTGGCTAATCTGATCAGGGAAGTAATTTGAATTTAGTTGTCTGAAAAAACAGATACCCTTGTTCTTGGTTGCTGTGATGGTTGCTCGGGAGGAAGATGCAAGCATTGTAAGGAAGGTGACTTGGGTTCGGTTGAGTGAGCTGTCACGATATACTGATGTATCATCAAGAGAGTGTGGCGCTTTGCTGGACCAATCCGCTATACTTTTCTCCCGAGCAGTGGGACCATATCGTGGGAGCGCATTGCGTGGATTCGAAAGTATCCATCTTACCAAAGATATTACGCCATGTGTACAACTCGGAGGGGTTGACTCAGCGACACGGGGAACATGTTTGGGATGTGCAATGCCAACATGCCTGTTCCACGAACACAACCTGACAATCCCAATTTATTCGAGATACGTTCAAACTCGCTTCTAGTTTACTGCGGCTGAGAAAACATTGCCCTCAGAAGCGTACGTCAATGTATGTTATTGTGTACAGCCTAGGTAGGCAGCCATCGCATCACGTCTCACGATTCCACGAGTTGTCGTGCGACAACCCCCTCCCACACGCCACGGAACACAACCCCTTGACTTGGCACTGTAGCCAACCCAGCCTGTCATTGCCAATGCCAACCAACCATACGTCGCCTTAGGTTAGGCTCAAGCTGGCAGCTTCGGAACCCACTTAGCTTTCATTCGCAGGGTGCTGTGCTTCAACCAAACACCACTTCCGGTTCGGCAAGCATAAACTTTTCTCCGTGTGGGATGCGCCGGGTTTTCCCGTGCCACGAGTCCGAACCTGATTGTTCCGCGCTACGCTGGGTCGCTGCCTTGGCTCACGCGAGGGGATGGGCGCTGCCTTCCCCAGATTCCTTCCCCCTTCGCCATGCGGCAGGCAATCCCAAAACTTCCGCCAGCCTCCTGCTACTGGCTCCGCGGCTGCCTAGTTTCCCCTCGGTTGCGGGGTTGCCCTTCCCCACCAGATGGCCCTCCTCTGATGACGAGACAAGACGAGACTGCGAGAGCGCATCAGCAAAGATCAGTGCAGCGAGAGCACTGCGTGCGAGGGCTCCAGCATTACTATTCGACCGCATCAGCAACAACAATCAATGCACTTCTAGAACATCGCGAAGGAAGGAACCTGGGAATATACCTCCCAGAGTTGACTCATCCAGCCAGTCAGTTCGTGAAGTTCGTTGACGAACAACCAAAACGTTTATCTAGTTAGCAGGCCATGGCTAGATGATCGCCTTCTTCTCTTCAAGCAGAGTGGTACGCGTGTCGCGAATTGCCTTTTGATAGTCGTAAGCATGGGGAACTGCTGCTCGGAGGGGAAAGGTGGGGAGCCTCCGTTCCCTGACGTTCCCGAGTCAGTGAAGCACGTGTTTAAAGAATACGCGGACGAGAACGGCGTGATCACAAGCAAGGCACTGCTTAAGTTCTTCCAGGAGTACCAGCAGGACAAGGTATCGTCGCTCGCTTGTGGTAACCATTTCGCATTTCCTCGCTGGCATTGATGTCAATATCAATGAGTGGAGTCAATGAGGTGACGTGCGATTCGACCTAAGAGCAAGCATGACAAGGTATTGCTGCTCACCTGTGATGTCAATGTAGTATTCGTTTGCTTATCGCAAGAAAGCAATGACATTGACGTGTCTTTCAGCGCTCCCTCTCTTCTGGATCGGCAATATCTATATCATTTGCCTCCGTTTTTTGTCGACGCTTTGCAGGAAGCCTTCAAACGCCTCAAGCCTTTATAATAACAGTTTCGATGCGTTTCAAAACTTCGGCTAAGGTCTGCATTATGTCATTTTGCTAAACGATTTTTTGCAGGGGGTGCTCCATGGACCTATTGCGAACCTTCTCCTCTCATTCCCGAGCACCGGCGGGAAGCAGGAGGCGGCAGCGACGCCGGCGCCCAAGGAGCGAATGTACCGCAGCATGACGTTCAAGGGGCAGGGCAGCAAGATCACGCAGGCCATGGAAAAAGTGTCGCACACCGTCGGCAGCAAGCTCATGGGCGTCGCAGCGGGGCCTAACGAAGACCGCTTCTTTCGCTTGCTCATGAACCCCTCCGCCACTGCGCCTATCATTGCCCGGGTAAGGGTTTTTTTTTTTTTTTTTTTTTTTTTTTTTACAATGGCAATGGCGATTCATAGACTTGAAAACGGCTGCAAACAGATCGGCGTATAGAGAGCATTTATTAGCTATTAAAGTTAACGATATGAGCGTTTCTCGGCTCCGTGATAAGTGCCATACTCCCAGACTAGAATGCTCGTCCTTTCGTCTAGTCGACGTTTGCTCCCGTTTCATAGCTATCTTCCGCTTCTGTTCGTTCATGGCCGCATGCCTGCTTGCGACGTTCGCAGGTGTCGCACGACATGAAGCAGCCGATGTCGCACTACTTCATCTTCACGGGCCACAATTCGTACCTGAGTGGTAACCAGCTCACCAGCGACAGCAGCGTCAAGCCCATCATCAAGGCGCTGCAGCGCGGCGTACGCGTTATAGAGCTGGATCTGTGGCCCAACAACGAGAAGACGGAGATCGTCGTCATGCACGGCGGGTAAGACCCCCCAATCCGCCGTTCCCCCAACATTTCCCATCGCTTCCGCGCGCAACCCCGCGCCTTCCCCGCCACCCTTTTCCATCCCTCCCAACCTTTTCCCCCTTCTCCAACCCCCATCCCCACTCCGCCCAACATTTCCCCACCCCTCCCCCACCGCTCTCCCACCCCTCCCCCGCCGCTCCCCCGCGTGCAGCACGCTGACGAAGCCTGTGGGGTTCGCGGACTGCATCACGGCGATTAAGGAGCACGCGTTCGTGGCGTCCGAGTACCCCGTTATTATCACGCTCGAAGACCACCTCACCGCCCCGCTGCAAGCTACAGCCGCCCAGGTGAGCGAAGCCAAAGGAATGGAATTTTGTGCCTCAGTGTGTAACGGAACAGCTTCAGGCAGCGCGTCCTGCCCTGCAAGCAGTCGGTAAGTGCGAATGATTGCTGCCAAGGGAAGCAGCATTGCAATACGCAGCATAGGAGCGTGTGACGTTGCAGCTTGGGACATTGCAGCATGCGACTTTGCAGCATGCGACATTGCAGCGTGCGACATTGCAGCGTGCGACATTGCACCATACGCCATTGCAGCATGCGACATTGCAGTATTCTACATTGCAGCGTGCGACATTGCAGCGTGCGACATTGCACCATACGCCATTGCGCCATGTGACATTGCACCACGCGATGTTCCATAATATCCCCACCTTCCCCTCCTCCCCCACCCTCACCCTCCCGCCAGACCCTCACGTCCATCCTGGGCGACACGCTGTACATGCCCAAGGACGGCGACAAGAAGTCCCTGTCGCCCTTCTCCCTGCGTCGTCTTATCCTCCCAAATCCGCTCACTCGCATCTCTCCGTCCCCTCCCTTCTACCCCTCCCCTCAGACCCTCACGTCCATCCTGGGCGACACGCTCTACATGCCCAAGGACGGCGAAAAGGAGTTCCCGTCGCCCTTCTCGCTGCGCGGCAAGATCCTCATCTCCACGCAGCCGCCCAAGGGGCCCAAAGAGCTCTCCACCGTCGTCGCTACAGACGACCCCGCCGAGGAGAAGACAGACGGCAAGCCGGCCGACGGGGCGGCGGGCGGCGCGGGGGGAGCGGGCGGGGAAGGGGGGGTGGCGACGGTGGCGAGTGAGGAGCGGCGCGCGAAGGCGAAGGTGTTGGGGCTGGGGGACGCGGAGAAGGTGCGCGCCAAAGCGGAGAAGGCGCGCGAGGCGGCCAGCGCGGCTCTGAAGGAGGGGCGGCTGCATGAGGTCAACGAGGCTGAGCTCATGGAGGTGAGAGGGGGGTGTGGGAGGGGAGGTAGATGGGTGGGTGCGGGGGGGGAGTGAACGGGGAGGGCAGTGGGGGAGGGAGAGGGGGAAGGGGGGGGCTGCTGAAGGAAGGGGGGGGCTGCTGAAGGAAGGGCTGCGAAGGCGAAGGTGCTGGGGCTGGGGGACGCGGAGAAGGTGAGGGGGGAGGGGAGGGGGAGGGTAGGGGGAGGGGGGGGGAAAGGCGCGAAGGCGAAGGTGCTGGGGCTGGGGGACGCGGAGAAGGTGAGGGGGGAGGGGAGGGGGAGGGTAGGGGGAGGGGGGGGGGAAAGGCGCGAAGGCGAAGGTGCTGGGGCTGGGGGACGCGGAGAAGGTGAGGGGGGAGGGGAGGGGGAGGGTAGGGGGAAGGGGGGGGGAATGGCGCGAAGGCGAAGGTGCTGGGGCTGGGGGACGCGGAGAAGGTGCGCGCCAAGGCGGAGAAGGCGCGCGAGGCGGCCAGCGCCGCGCTCGAGGGGCGGCTGCACGAAGTCAATCAGGCGGAGCTTATGGAGGTGAGATTGGTGGGGGAAATGAAAGGGGATGGTAGGCGTGGGGGGGAGGCCAAGGTGCTGGGGCTTGGGGACGCGGAGAAGACTTTTGAGGCGCCTCAAAAAGGGATGGTAGGTGTGGGGGGAAGGCGAAGGTGCTGGGGCTGGGGGACGCGGAGAAGGTGCGCGCCAAGGCGGAGAAGGCGCGCGAGGCGGCCAGCGCTGCGCTCAAGGAGGGGCGGCTGCACGAAGTGAACGAGGCTGAGCTCATGGAGGTGAGAAGGGGTTGTGGGGGAGGTGTAGGTAGTGGGGGGAGGGGAGGGAAGAAGCAACGGGGCAAGCAGGAGAAAAAGGAGCTGAGGAGGTGGCGTGGGGCGTGTATTTCCCCTTGAGTTAGGAGGGGCGGCTGCACGAAGTGAACGAGGCAGAGCTCATGGAGGTGAGTGTGGGGAGCGGGGAGGGGGGTGGGGGATGAAAGGGGAGGGTAGATGGGTGGGTGGGGGAGAATGAACGGGGAGGGCAGTGGGGGTGGGGGAGGGGGAGGGGGAGGGGGAGGGGGAGGGGGAGGGGGAGGGGGAGGGGGAGGGGGAGGGGAGGTGCTGCTGAAGGAGGGGCAGCTGCACCAAGTGAACGAGGCGGAGGTCATGGAGGTGAGCCTGAGGGGAGGAATGCAAGGGGAGGGTAAGTGGGGGGGAGGGGAGGTGCTGGGGCTGGGGAGGCGGTGAAACAGGCTCCGAAGGAGGGGCGGCTGCACCAAGTGAACGAGGCGGAGCTCACGGAGGTGAGAAGGGGGGTGGAGGGGTTGGAGGGGAGAAACGGAACTGGGGTATGTATTTCGCCGTTGGGATGGGAGGGCCGGCTGCATCAAGTGAACGAGGCAGAGTCATGGAGGTGAGGGGTTGGGGGGGTGAAGAAGGGGGCAGGGGAAAGGAGGGGAGGTGTTGGGAAGAAGGGGAGGGAAAATGGTGCTGCCATAGCAGCTAGCACCGGAGTAATTCCAAATCACCTGATTTCGCCCTCTCTCTCCCCTCTCTCTCTCCTCTCTCTCTCTCCCCTCTCTCTCTCCCCTCTCTTTCTCCCCCCTCTTTCTCCCCCCTCTCTCTCCCCTCTCTCTATCCCCCCTCTCTCTCCCCTCTCTCTCTCCCCTCTCTATCCCCTCTCTCTCTCCCCTCCCTCTCTCCCCTCTCTCTCTCCCCTCTCTCTCTCCCCTCTCTCTCTCCCCTGCAGGAGTCGGGCACGTGGGAGGAGGAGGGCGAGGCGGCCGCACAGCCGGAGCAGCTATCCGTGACTATCCGAGCCACCTTTTCTTCCACTCTCTTACCGCACCCCCCTCTCCCTGTCCCTTCAATCCTCTCTGTCGCCTCCCCCACAGGAGTCAGGCACTTGGGAGGAGGAGGACGAGGAAGCAGCGCAGCCGGAGCAGCTAGCCCGGGAGTATCGGCGGCTGATTCTGCCCTCTCTTTCCCTTTCTTCTTTCACCCCTCCCTATCTCTCTCTCTTTCCCACAGGAGTCGGGTGCATGGGAGGAGGACGAGGAAGCAGCGCAGCCGGAGCAGCTAGCTCCGGAGTACCGGCGGCTTTTGAGACGTCTCACAAGCAGCAAGCTCCAGAGTACCGGCGGCTGATTCTGCCCTCTCTTTCCCTTCCCTCTTTCACCCCTCCCTCTCTCTCCCCCCTCTCCCCCACAGGAGTCGGGCACGTGGGAGAAGAGGACGAGGAAGCAGCGCAGCCGGAGCAGCTGGCCCCGGAGTATCGGCGGCTGATTGCCATTCCGGGCGGCAAGCTGACGGCGGGGCAGACGGTGGAGGACGGGCTGAGACTCTCAGAGTGAGAGGCAACGGCGAGGACCGGAGAGTACTTCACATCACACTCACCCAGCCTTGTCTTCCCTCGTACCACACCTCTTCTCCGCACCGCACCACCTCCTTCTCTCCTTCCTCTGTCTCTTTGCAACAGGAGTCGGGCACGTGGGAAGAAGAGGACGAGGAAGCAGCGCAGCCGGAGCAGCTAGCACCGGAGTACCGGCGGCTGATTGCCATTCCGGGCGGCAAGCTGACGGCGGGGCAGACGGTGGAGGATGGGCTGAGACTCTCAGAGTGAGAGGCAACGGCGAGGACCGGAGAGTACTTCACATCACACTCACCCAGCCTTGTCTTCCCTCGTACCACACCTCTTCTCCGCACCGCACCACCTCCTTCTCTCCTTCCTCTGTCTCTTTGCAACAGGAGTCGGGCACGTGGGAAGAAGAGGACGAGGAAGCAGCGCAGCCGGAGCAGCTAGCACCGGAGTACCGGCGGCTGATTGCCATTCCGGGCGGCAAGCTGACGGCGGGGCAGACGGTGGAGGACGGGCTGAGAGACACCGGCGAGGGGCCGCCCAAGCGCGTCAGCTTCAGCGAATCGCAGCTCACCAACACGACCAAGACGTGCCCCAAGGGGCTAGTGAGGTGAGGGGGATGGGCAGGATGTTAGTTGCGCAGGTGAATGGTGGTGGGTAGTGGTGGTGAGTGGTAGTGAGTGGCGAGGCAACGGCGAGAGGCCGCCCAAGCAAGTGCGCTTCAGTGAGTCACAGCTCACCAACACGGCCAAGACGTGCCCCAAGGGTCTTGTGAGGTGAGCGGTGGTGAGCGGTGGTGAACGGTGGTGAGTGGTGGTCAGTGGCGAGACACGGGCTAGGGGCCGCTCAAGCACGTGAGCTTCAGCGAATCGCAGCTCACCAACACGACCAAGACGTGCCCCAAGGGGATTGTGAGGTGAGGCAGAGATGGCTGTGCTGAGGTCAGTGGGAGGGGCAGGTTGGCCGTTAGGCAACGCAAAGGTGGGAGGGGCAGATTGGGTGTTAGGCAACGCAGAGGCAGGCTCGAGAGCGTGTGTTGTTCACTATAGCACACAAGGTACACATAGCAAACTAGCAAGGGTGCACCACCAACAGAATGTATAACAAACTACAGCTACAGCTACAGGCATTTATAGATAGATATATATAATATATCACGACACACCCCCTAAGTGCCTGCAGCGCATAGCAATAGCAAGTCACTGAGGGGTGAAAAAAAAAAAAAGCATGGGAAACATCACATATCAGCCATGATAAATGGAAAGACGGTAGGTGCAGGACCCGAGAGGTGGGCGTGAGAGCAGGTGCCGTGGCTGCAACGAGCAGCAGGACAGCACCGCTCACCACCTCTGGGGCCGTGCCTGCTACAGGCAGCAGTTGCGGTGATGGCAGATAGAGCCACAGTGACCTCAGCCACGGCAGATGCAGCAGCGACAGGTGCAGGACCCGGCAGGTGGGCGTGAGAGCAGGCGCTGTGGCTGCAACGGACAGCAGGACAGCACCGCTCACCACCTTCGGGGGCATGCCTACTACAGGCAACGGCTGCAAATGCCCGACTTGCTTCTGCCACCCCCTTACCCGCCCACTCAACCTCTCTGGTGCTGGCGGTGTTGCGGGTGCCTGGTGCTGGCGGGACGGCGTTGGAGCTGGTGCTAGTGCTGGCGGCTGGCGCTGGTACTGGTGCCTGGTGCTGGCGGCTGGCGCTGGTGCTGGTGCCTGGTGCTGGCGTGACGGCGTCGGTGCCAGTGCTGGAGCTGGTGATGGTGCTGGCGGGTGGCGCTGGTGCTGGTGCCTGGTGCTGGCGTGACGGCGCGGGAGCTGGTGCTGGTGCTGGCAGCTGGCGCTCGTACTGGTGCCTGGTGCTGGCGGCTGGTGCTTGTGCTGGTGCCTGGTGCTGGCGTGACGGCGCTGGAGCTGGTGCTGGTGCTGGCGGCTGGCGCTGGTGCTGGTGCCTGGTGCTGGCGCTGACGGCGCTGGCGGGGTCTCTGCTGGCGGTGGCACTGCTGGCGGGGTCTCTGCTGGCGATGTAGCTGCTGGGCCACGAGCTCGACACTCACGCCAGCAACCCGCGGCGAAATCGCCAGCGAAATCGCAAGTGGCCCGCCAGCGAAATCGCCAGCGCGTTCGCCCACACGCCTGCAACCCCGCCGTTGAACCCGCCGACGAGTTGGTGTTCGCCGTAGTGTCCGCCGCGGCCGTCGTGATGAGCGCCGCGACGCGACGTGACGGCCGCGAACGTACTCGCCGTGGCGCCCGTCACTAAGGTCGCAACTAAGGACGTGACGGGCGTCATGACGAGTGCGTCAACTGGTGGGCCCATAGGAACGTTATGGCTCTGATACCATGTTACGATAGTAACTTAACTTAGGAACTGGGTTTAGCTAGGGCATGGGCTTAGGAGCCTAGGCCACGAGTGTCGAGTGGTTTGTGCCAAGGAGAAATGTCGAGAATGTGTGTTTTTCACTATAGCACACAAGGTACATATAGCAAACTAGCAATGGTGCACCACCAACAGAATGTATATCAAACTACAGCTACAGCTACAGGTACTTATAGATAGATATATATAATATATCACGACAGTCGCTTGGCCATTCCCCCCTCCACCCACCCCCCATTGTTCTTAAGGACCTGTCTAACCACTTTCCAGCCCTCTCACCTCTGTCCCGCCCGTGTCGCCCTTCCTACCCGCTTCACCATCGTTCCCCGCTTTCCTGCCCTGCACCTCCCCCCAGCTTTACACCCCATCTCTTTTCCGTTTGCCCCACCTCTTACCCGTTGCCTATGTGCCACCCTACACCTTTGTCCAGCCGTTTACCTTAGTCTTACCCTCTGCCACTGTCCTTCCCCCAGCTTAGTTTTGGCCCCAACCTATATTCCCCTCCCTATCCCCCTCCCACCCACCTCCCGCTCATCCCACTATCCCCCCAACCCCCCACCCCCCCCCCCCAGCTTCACGCAGCGCAACCTGCTTCGCATCTATCCCTTCGGGCTGAGGGTGACGTCATCCAACTATGACCCCATGCCGGCATGGCTGCATGGCGCTCAGATGGTCGCCATGAACATGCAGGTGAGCATGCCTGATGATGTCATGATGAGCCATGAACATGCAGGTGAGCCTGCATGATGACGTCATGCTGTGCCATGAACATGGAGGTGAGCATGCATGATGACGTCATGCTAAGCCATGCCATGCAGTGCTTACACACACTGCAAAGGTCCAATTTCTCTGTTCTGATTTTCGTCACACTCTTCTCTCGTTCAACCTGCCTCACTCCTCCCCTGTTGTACCCACTGCACTCTTCTCCTTCCCAAAGTCTCTCCACCCAAACCTCCTCTTCACCCTTGCCGCCATCCTTAGGACTACTTCTGGCCTGGATTTTGCGGCTCCTTGCCAACTGTGCTGCATTGCTGCCCCTCCCATTCTCATGTCTTCCTTCTTTTTCCACCACCTTGTTCCTCGCTCACCCATAACCAGGGCTACGGCCGGCCTTTGTGGATCGTGCACGGCTTTTTCAGTGCCAATGGCGGGTGCGGCTACATCAAGAAACCTGATTTCTACCTCACGCCTGGGAAGCAGCTGGAGGGGATCTCTGAGGGGGATGAGAGTGCTGCAGGCAGCACCGAAGGGGTCTATGACCCTTCTGTTCCTCGACCCATCCAAATGACCCTACGGGTAATGTGGCTATTTTGAGGGGTTTCTGGTCTGTTATTGCCGCTATCGCGCTGCCATACTGATGGCTGCTGAATGCCTGGCCGAACGCATGATTTGCATTGTTTTTTTGCATCTCTGCAAACCCCGTTTCAGACTACCCATTTTCTCTCACTCTTTTCCAGATTTCCATCCTCCTTACCCATCCATCCCTCCTCCCATACTTCTCCCTACCCCCCACCTTCCCTCTACCCCCCTCCTGTCCCTCACCCCTCTCCTTAACCTTACCCCCTCCTTCCCCTTACTCCCATCCTTGTTATGCTATCCTTTCCCATGTTCCCGTCCTTCTTTATCTTATCCTCCGCCTCACCCCCGTCCGTATCCTATCCTGCTCCTTACTCTATCCTCCCTTTACCCCCCGTCCTTCTCCTTGCCCCCATCCTTCGCCTGGCCTGCAGGTGCGGGTGGTTGTTGGCACGGGGTGGTTGGAGCGGTATGGCAAGGGTCACTTTGACACCTACTCCAAACCAGACTTCTACTGCAAGGTAAGATGCCGCTTCCTCTTATGAGTTTCCAGAAAAAAACACACTGCAAGCAACCCTTGTTTGCTTGCAGGCATAAGAGTATTGACATGGCACACTGTACGTACTCCATGCTCCCTGCTCAATGGTCCATGCTCCATGCTTCATGCTGCATGCTCCATGCTTCATTCTCCATGGTAATTTGTGAGGTGCTGCCATTGAAAATGCCAATCTCCTGATATATAGTGTTCTGCTTTACCCCTGCCCATAACCAGGTGAGCATTGAGGGCGCACCATCAGACTCGGCAGAGAAGAAGCTTGATACGTGCAGTGACGACTGGTGCCCCTGCTGGGACGGCACTACCTTGGAGTTCCCCCTCATACTGCCCGAACTCGCACTGCTCTGCATTGAGGTAAACTTATGATATATATACCCTGAGTGTTTCTATTAATTTATTCTCTTGATGGTAAACGTTTTAGTAATTCACTTGCCTATCTCACCCGCCTCACAACTTTTCTGCCTGTCTGCCAACCCCTTTGCAGGTTTTAGAGAAAGACCAGTTTAATGATGAGTTTGCAGGGCAGGCAGTACTGCCAGTGGCATCACTCAAGCCAGGCTTCCGCTGCGTGTCGCTGTATGACCGAAAGGGGCATCCTCTTGTGGAGGTTGCTGGAGAGGAGGTTGTGGGACCACGGTTGCTGTGCCATTTTGAGATGGTGTCGTCTAATGAATCAAACGAGGACAAGGCGAAAGCGTTTGAAGAACTTCCCAAGGGGGCTCAAAGAAGTGCAGGAGGTAGTTACGAGGTCTGATGTAAACTTTGGTCAGGTTAGGCTGTAAGTAGGTAGTTACGAGGTTTTATGCATTCATTTCAGTTGATGCCTTAGTCTAGCCTAGCATCATCTGATGTATGAAGTGTGGGTATGTCAGCAAGGTAGCAATGTACCTGTCCAGCCTAAGCTGTCACATTTTTTATGCTGGGTTGGGTAGATAGTACAATTGTTGCAACAGCCATATTTAATTCAGTTGCACTTGTCAAGAATGTTCCACCAAAATTCATTACTTATTTTTTTCAGTTGCATTTAGCGTTCTAGATGATGAAAATAGAGAATATGCAGTAGCAAATGCTCGCTACAATGTTTGGCATCAGACTGAGCTTCATAAGCACATCTAGGCACCAATGAGTCTTCAGTCTTCTTCGTCTGCTTCTTCCAACCATTTGATGAAAGGCTCAAGTGCCTTAACAAACAGCTGCCTGTAAAGAAAGAATTGACTAGTTAGACTCCACCCTCAGAGCAAGCTCAGATATCAACCCTGACAGCACAGCCCATTCTACATACCTTCCTTTTGGATTGGAACCCTTGTGGAACCAAAGCATGATGGTGTCCTCAGCGAGGACATCACAATCGTAGAGGGTCCTGACAAACTCGGGAAAGAGGCGCTGGATCTTGGCATCCTCGTAGCACTGCAACTGAATGTGGTAAAGCAGCTCTAGCTCCATCTTGGCAGACGAGCACACTGCCTCCAAAAGCTTTGCCCAGGATTTGAGCTGCCAAGTAGACCAAATAAAGCCCATGAAATGAGACCATGTCAAGACTTCACCTAAACTAACTCCGTGCACGGATAAGCAGGTTCCATACATACCTGTCGCAAGGCTGTATTAGAATTCTGTTGCACATTTTTGCCTGACCACTGCACAGCGCCCATGACTGCATCCCAAACTGTGCGAACAACATCACCATCTGCCAGGCCGCCCTCCTTCTTTTTCTGCTTAACCATGTCGATCACATCACCCACATCTGTATGCTCTTCCTCAATCATGTCAGCGAGGGCTGTGTGCAGCTCCTTCAGCTTCACGTCAAACACCACCTTCTTCTGGTAGTCCGCCAACGCCTTCAGGCCCTCGTTGCTGCAGCAGCAGTAGAAAACGATGGGTTCAATTTCACAAGCAGCAACCATAACACATGGAGCAAGACGACTATATACGTTCTTCCATTCAATATCAGCTTCTTGGCATGCGCTTTCAGAAAGGTTGGCGCCCTAAACTTCAAGTTGAATAGTCGTACCTGAAGTGTTGTGAAAATGCGTCTGGAGTCCGCTTCTGAGAGGGCAAGAACTCGATCAGCCGCTGATCGACTTTCCCTTTCTTGAGCAGACCCACAAGGTCATCCATGTTGGTCTCCACCAGATAGACGTGGAAGAAGTCCGTAATGAAGCCGAGCGAGGTGCCTTTAGTAACAAGCGTGTCATTAAGGAGGGCTATGAAAATGACATCAGGTGCCAGGCCAGTAAACCGCTGTGAGAAGCAGAGGGCTGTCAACACAGCAAGGCGCTTCCTCTCTTCAGGCTCATACATTTCCTGCACCCAACAGCAGAAAAACGATCAGAATCTACTACATCACCGAGTCAAACAAGCACCACCTTGCGAAGAGGCTCGCACCAGAGACTGCACCCAGCGGCGCAGCACGTTCTCCAAGGACTTGATCATGAACGGACGGCGCCGCAGAATCTTCTGGATGAAAAGGACATGCTTGAGAACACCCTCCTTTGTGGGTGGAGAACTGAGCACATTCCACGGCTGCCGCTCTGCCCCCTCCTCTGGCTTGGTTGTGCCAGGCTGCATACGACCGCCGCTAAGGACCACCTGCGGAAAAGACAAATCATTTTGTTACTAAGAATGCGGCCCAGGCAACGTTTGCCGTCCGTAGACGGGAAGCAGGGGTTTAAGAAGTAATACCTCGAAGAATGTCTCCCCATATCGAGAAAAATCGAGTTCGGAAGAGTCGATATCCTTCGCTATAAGCTCCTGCAACACATAAGGAAATAATGTCAGCTCCGAGACCCTCGTTCCGTTCAGCTGAGATGACACAGCTCTGCAGCTCACCAAATCCCCCTGGTGATCCGTGTAGATGTGGACGATCGCATCTGCAAAGCTGGTTGGATCTAAAGGAACCGCAATATTCCTTTTGCGGGTCTTGATCCGCGTGCCACTGGAAAGCGAAATCACCGAATTAGCTCAAACCACTGCAAAGAGAAATGAGAAAAACAAGACACCATCGCACTTACCCGAGAGTGGGCTTCTCCTTGGAGCTGGAAAGACACAAATGTGACAGAAATAGACAAAAACATTTTCCATCAGGGCTGTATGCGGAGCAGCGGACGGGACAACAACTGAGGCCAAACGCGAAAAATCTACGAACCTCATAAACCTGCCGGGGAAAACAAGGAAAATAGGCCGAATTCTATTGCAAGCCAATAACTGGCTTGTTCAGGAGGTTCTAGGAGATAATTATGTGAAGCAGGAAGATCTTGAAAGCGGCGTGGATGACACACCAACAGCAACAAAATGCGGTGACAGCACGCACTTGGATCAGTTGGGTTGGACAGGACGGATGCAGATACGCTAGGCGTTTTGCAATGACCAGTGGACAAATCCCCGCTTTCAGAACGAACCGTTTGAAAGTGCATCAAGAAAGTGTGGTTGCCTTGAAGAAAACAAGGAGACTGTATAAAGCATTTTATAGAACAAAACTTCCTACAATGCCTTACAATCTTGATACACCTACAGCCACGTATGTAAGTAGGTGCTACAACCATTTGCCCCTAAGAAGCACCCTTTCTCGCCCTTCCCCCGCTTCCTCGGCCTTTTCCACCCTTCGTGGGCCCCTTGCTTGAGTTGCCTGCAGATTTTCCTACAAGTCGCAAACGGACCGCTGCAAAACACACACACCACACAAACGATTATTTGAGCTGGAACTTGGAGTTTAAAAAAGAGTTCACATGACCTGATTGCATGGTTGCAAGTACCTTCATCGTCTTCATCATGCTCACTGCTTGCATCCTCCGCTGCATCATCATCGTCTTCTTGCAGTGTTCCAACTGTCAAACGTGAATGGGGCATTATCAATACCAGAACAGACGTTTCACTCAGAACACCCATCTAGCCTGAATGGCAAGGAATCATCTGTGCTTAACGACTGACCATGCAACCAGCGAACAGAAAATAGCTGTTAGGGGCAGCTCACCTTCATCAACAGCCACAGGAAGATCAGTATCAGCCTGCAAAAGAGAAGCCTCATCTGTTCCTCCTCCACCGGACGGCTTAGCCGTCTTGCCTCGACCACCTGCCTTCCCACGCCCCCCTGGCAGCTGGAGAGGCGGCAGAGTGGCAGCAGACTTGGCCTTGTGCGCCTGCTGCTCCTTCTTGAACTCCCGTGTCAGCCGAGCCTTCACTGGCGCTGGCACACCCTCCATGGGACCAGATCGACCCTGGTTGCACGGAAGAGTGGAACATTTACTGAAGCTATACAAATAAATGCGGCGAACGAATCAGGACAGGGGGCGAGTTAGGGGGAAAGCGGAATAATACAGAGTAAGATGCAATAAGGCGCGAATAGAACCACTTGCCTTGAAGTGTGAGAGCTCCACGGCCGTCTCAAGGTCATCCAGTGTGAGGCCATACTCCATCATCTCCTCTACCACGGTCTCCACTCCATCCTGCAGGGCGCATATGTGTGATATTTTCTTTGATACATGTAGAGCAAAAGAAAGATGGAAGGTGAGGGGAGAGGAAGAAAAGGTGAGGAAAAGGAAAGGGATGGAGGGTGCGTGGGGTGAATGGGGGCCGCGGAATAGGGGGGAGGAATTTCCAAAACAAGAAGCGGGCTCAATGAGGGCATGAAGGATGGTTGGATACACGTGATGCACACCTGTGCGTGCTTGTGCAGAGGCTGTGTGAGGGAGGAGACGAGGGGCTCCAAGTAGTCAAGGCGAACAACTTGCCTGCACCACAGGGAAAGAGAAGGTACAGGTCAAACGGCAATGATGCAGGACGGGGCACTGAGGAGCAGGGTAGAACATAGAAGAGGGAGGGGCAGGAACGGATGCCCATACGGGGGAGAGTTGGATACCTTGATGGGTTGGGGAGCAGATGCGAGGAGAGGAGGTGCTGGTGCAGGTCATCCAGCAAGCGGTAGTTCTTGCCCACGGAAGAGTTCTTCCCCAGCCAGCCAGGGAAGCGATTGAAGTTCCGCTCACCCTGTTCAGAGAACGCTCAGCAGATAGTGAGGACAACATTGCAAGCAGGATTGCAGGAGAAGGTTCCTGGCACAATTCTTAGGGAAAACATGATGGCACATAGTTGGCTTACCTCTAGAAGAGTGACCCTTCGTCCAGAGACCATCAAGCCCCTGCTCAGATCACATCACGCCAACACGGTTAAAGATTTAGGGCAAATGGAAACAGCAGAGAAATGCTAAGTATGAGGTAGCAGTGGAACGCAGTGGGATGGGTGCCAGCATGACACAGGGGAACTCACGGAGTGATGCAGGACATGACAGCAGCGAACTGCAGGTGCTGCCACTGCTGGTATCTGCGCACTTGCACGTTCACCAGGTCCCCACTGGAGATGGCATCGGCCGCTTGAGAGAGGCGAGAGAGCAGGAGAGGAGACGACGGGTCGTTGCCAGGCACGTGGTTCAGGTAATTCTCCTGCAAAGGGTGACATAGTAGGCGCGGTGAATCAGGTAGGTGTCAGGTCAACAACACATCCCTTTGAATAAGCAAAAAAACAACTGGAGAGGCTGGGATGGTGCAGGGCTGGCTGCATGGATCACAATTGAGGCCTGAGCGTAATGCAGTCAAGGAGCAGTTTATGTGTCATATGGTGGGGCGAGTTCAGAGCCTCAGACGGTGTGTGATAATGAGAGTAGAAGGTGGTGGCACCTGGATGAAGAGCGGCATGAGGTCGATGTCTGACATGGCTGCATCAACGAGAATGTCCAACCTCTTGCCACGCGCTCCATACCCCATCAGCCTGCAGCACCCGGAAAAGGGTAAAAGGGGTAGTCGATGCATAAGTGCACTGAAACAACAGCAACTGTGCAGTGCCTATGGAACTTGAATCCCCCTCACCCCCCTCCCCCCCCCCCCCCCCACCCCCCACTGCACGCACGTGTCAGCAGCGGCCATGGGGCGGATGTCCTCGTCCTTGGCGTTGGCCTGCATGCGCTGCTTCACCTCCTGGTACGACAGCTGCCGGCAGCTCAGCGACATGTACTGCAGCTGGTTCAGCGCCAGCCGCATGTCCCCCCCCGTGCGCTCCGCTAGCTCCTCCAGGGCATTCTGCAGGCAAAGGAACATGTCAGCTGAGAAATCTAAGAATTTGGATGCTGTTGGTGTGCATGAGCTAAGCAGAAATGCATGAATTGTTGAGTACGCTTCAAGCACTCACATCAGCGATCTGGATCTTCTCAGTGTTCGCCACCTGCCGCAACCTCTTGGCCATCTGAAGTGGAAGTAAAAAAATGAGTTAAACTTCACACAAAATTGCACGATTAGTGGACTTGCAGCGCACCGTGCAAGCCTTAGCTTCACCCAGGTCAAACAGGCTGCGGCGCTCACCTGTTGTCTGGTGGGCTTCCTGTAGTTGAGGAGCAAGCAGTGGTTGACGAGGCTCTTGAGCTTCTGGCTGTAGCGGTCGTTGCAGATGCAGATGATGGGCACACGGCTCTCCTTGATGCTCACTATCAGGTCCGCCACTCCACCCCTGTCGCCCCCTGACATGCCATCCACCTCATCCATGATCAGAGCCGCTCGATCCACCTGCTGCTGCTGCTGCTTGCCCCTGCAACAGCCCACATGCCACACCAATTAGTCCACAGCACTGACTGCTTGTCATACTACTGAGACTTCTCGATTATGAGCAGGCACACACATGTGCTGAATGTTCAAAACGCAAGTCCGGAAGGTGAGGGGATTCTAGGGGCTGAGGAGTGGTACTTGGTGGTGGTAGGGACGGGGGAGAAGCGGAGGGTGGTGTTGGAGATCATCTCCTTGATGGTGTTGGATGTCGCGCCACCCATGCCGTTGCGGATCTTGGAATCCGACTTCCCTCGAGAATCACTGGCGTTCACCTGGTGGGAGAGCGGAGGGTGGTGGAGCAACGGTGATGCGATGAGACACAAGGTGCACACCAAGCGACTTATGCAAGCTGATGCTCAGAAAACCAGCCAGCTACCGTGAAGGCACTGTCCGATATAAGATACTTGACATGCAAGTTACTTGGTCAACAATGAGGCGCAGCACAGCAAGCTTCAACAGGGCTCACCTCGAGAGGCGAGAAGCCAAGAGCAGCGCAGACAAGGCGAGCTGTAGTGGTCTTGCCAATGCCCGGCCCTCCACTGAGGAGCACGGCCTTCTTGTTCATGTCACCCCCTGCCGCCCCTCCTCCACCTGCCCCACCTTTCCCACCCTTCTTGCCCTTCTTGGCGCCTCCTTGTCCCAGATGCCTCGCCTCCCAGCCTGACAGCCAGTCATGCAGCTGCTTCACCTGCAGAGGGTCGCATGATGTGGCAGGAGAGGAAGGATCCCAGGCAGGGAGTGTAAGGAAGCAGCAGGGAGAAGATATGAACCCTCCTGAGAGGCTACAGCAGATTTTGTAGCAGCATGACGCACCAGGCCTTGGTTAGCGATGATGTCTGCTGTGCTCTTGGGAGCATACTTCTGCGGCCATGACTCCACCTCCACTGGTCCCGATCTCGCTGCAGCTGTAGGGGCCACCACTGGCCTTGCTGCACCAGCGTTCGTCTGGCTCGCTAGGCCTCGTGCACCAGCCGATGGATCTGCCTTGAGCTTCTTAGGGAGTCGATCAGCGTCAGGCTTGTGATCGTCAGCAGGTCGACCCTTATCTGCAGGGAATTGTGAAGCAAAGTAAGTGTAAGCAGCTTCCCTGCTTAGCCTTAGAATCCAGCCATAAGAAAAGGCTACAACCAACGAGACAACAGCACCTGCAACCAGCGGCTGTTTAGCCGGGGGTGATTTCGCTGGTGCAGATTGCTGCTTCTTTGCCGCAGCACGGATAAGGTCAAAGAGGCCATCCTCTGTGAGGAACTTCACCCTGCAGCAGCAGAAGCAGCAGCAGCAGTGCACATCGGCGTCATGAGAACCGCAATGCAGATCAGATGGAAGACAGAAAGCGGCTGTCAATGGTGGACCGTCTTACCCAAGCTCTTTAGCCTTGGTAGACTTTCTGCCTCCAATGTCTTCATCAGCGAGGAGGTAGGTCTGCATCCCAATTCGAAGGAAACAAAAGGAATCAGTCTGCAGGTTCAGGTTTCTGACATTCCCTTTTGATGACACACGATTGTGTCAAGGTTACTCCACATTGTAACAGTAACACCTGACCTGAACATAGCCATTCCAGTACTTGGATACTGAAGGCATGGTCCATGGTTTTACCACCACGGGTTGCTGACTAGAGCAGGCACGCATTACCCAACATGTCACTGCAGTCTCAACAGCATTCTCCCTGAAGGAGCTTGATGGCGCGTTGATTCCAGTGTTATGAGTTGGCAGCATAACATTGGCGGAATTGCAGCAAAGAGGAGTCTGCTGAAACAGCTGTTCAAATCAAACTTGCAGCCAGTCTTGAGCTTCCAGAATAGCAACTACGGAAGGCATACCCACCGTTTTTCCACTGACAGAGCCAGTGATCCGACCACCATGCCTCTTGATCAAGTCCTCTGCATCCTCCCTCTCCAAGCTGCATGTCAGCCATTGTTAGCGTGAGAAAGTTGTGAAGGAACACTTGCTGCAAATGCAACAGTTACGAAGGTAACTGACCTGTCAAGAGTGCCACTGATAACAAAAGTGATCCCCGTCAAGGCATTTTCGGGACCTTCAGGTACTTCCTGCAAAAGCAGCAACAAGTCAGCCCCTATCTTGTAAAAAACGACGAGCATTGACTCACTAAGTGCAGCATACCTTCTCTCCTTTGTGTGGGGGAGCGGATCTTTCCCCGAAAAAGCCACCTCTGCCTCCCCAGCCTCTTCCTCGGCCTCCACCCCCACCTCGACCCCCTCCAGAATCACCACCGCCTCTACCCCCACCACCTCCTCTTCCTCGACCTCCAGTATCTTTCGCCTCAGCAGCAGATGCAGGCTGAGGCTTCGACGGCGTAGCCTTCTTCGTGGTAGGTCCGGCCTTACCCCGCTTCCTCTTTCCAGCTGGTTGTTCCTCTTCTTCTTCTTCCTCCTCGTCTGCTTCGTCCTCATCCTCCTCATCAGCATCATGACTGCCTGAATCCTTACCAACAACGAAATCCGCATCATCTTCATTGTCGTCTTCCTCATCATCTTCGTCATCATCTACGATCATGGACCTTTTCCTTGGCTTCTTAGAAGGCGTTGAAGAGGATTTGACGGCCTTAACTCCTCGTTTAGGCTCATCCTTAGCAGCTGATGCCTTCTGTAATGCGCTTGCTCGTTCCGGATTCTTGAGAGGCTCGCTCGTTTTCGTGGGAGTCGGAGCATGATATCCTTTACGCAGGATAGAGCTTGACGGGGACTTCAAGGGAGAAGCCGAAGTTGCAGGTACGACATCCGTTTCCTAAACATAATGACGAAAAGAATATTAGCTACGTGTGTAGCAAAAGCCACGGCCAAACTGATTAATAAAGCTTTACCTTCTTCTTCTCAGCCTCAGATACTGGAGTTGAGGTTTTTTTTCCGAACCAGCGACGAATGTCCCCTTTCTGCATTCTTGCTCGGTGTGAGTATGGTAAGACGAGAACCTACTGCTGCTTTCCTTACGCGGCGCTGTTGAAATGTTCAGACGCCTTGGTGCTCCTCTCACATTATTCTCCTGACGTTCAGTCCTTCGTTGGAGGTGGATAAGGCCTGAAATGGCTGGAATGCCTGGTTGAGGAACTGAGAAAGTATCGGAAAGAGGCATTTGGGGTGAACCTTACGCCATCCGCGTTACGGGAAAGCCCTACGCAATACCAGAAGCAATTTGTATCAATTTTGTTCGTGTCTATACGACATTTTCAAAGCAGCTTTAAGAATGTTTCAGTGAAATCTGACTAATTAACAAAATTATGACTACAATTTCTTAACATGAAAGGCTACCCAGTAAATTACTTTCATTTATTAATGTTTTTTTATTATTGAGAGCATTTTTGTGCTCCATAACAGTGTAGAGCAAGTTGATGACTCACCCTGGTTTGGAATTTCCTGTCAAATAATTCTGGGGCATCAAAGTGTACCAGATCCAAGTGACCCCTGATACCGGAGGGGTCATTATGCAGCATGGTGTTTGTTCTGTATCGAGTCACCTTGTGAACGTCTTGGATGACTCCATGCGGCGAATCCACGCAAGCACAGTACGTATTTGGACAAGTCATTCGAATTCAAACAATCTCCACATTCCTATTGGCGCTTTGCATTCCCATTGACGGCTAACCGCCAACTGCTGAACCGACACACCCTAAAACTTCAATTCAGCCAAGAACTGGAAACAAGGGGGAGCCCTTGAGAGTTCCAAGCGACGAGTCGCGTGTGCCTCGCTACGCATCGCGCATTTGATCCACATAGAAATTGGGGCGACCAGTCTGCAATTGCAACATCCACACCAATCTCTCACCCAACAGCCCCTCTGTCATTGCTCCCCGCAGCATGCATCCAGTTTGAGAGCAAGTCGTCGCGTCACATCTCACCTCACTCGCTGCTACGACCTACACGCATATCGACCCACCTTCTTCAAGCGTATTTGTGAAGGCTCCACTTCGGAGATACCCAGGTGAACGCACGCTTCAGAAGTGCTGGACGTCGTCCAGGAACTCCCAGTGACGGCTCCTGGATAAATCGTGGTGGAAATCACAGCCATGAGTCCGGAATTGGCAGCCGAGAAAGAGAACACAGCGAGTCTCATGGATGATCAAGTTCTTGCGATGAGCGGTGAGGATAATTTGTCGATTCCCAAGCTCAATTCGTGCTCTGCGAGCGGAGGGGGCTCCTGCGTCGTAGAGAATGCTAAGAATCCGACCTCTGCTCCCGGTTTGTCGCCAGCGACCACGTGCGTCGCACACGATGCGTGCGACAGCAATTTCGCGGAGCAGAGCGCGCGAATGGCGGCGGGAGGCAAGCGAAAGCTCTCCGAATCCGGCGCCGCGTGGGCCAGAGCCACCGGAAATACCGCGGGTGACTACACCGACGGATCCTGGGACCCGGTAACGTCCCTCGCAAGCATCCGTCACGAATTCGGCGAGCACGGCGGCGTGAACATGTCGATCGAGAACAGCGCGACGTTCACGGTGATGGATCCGGAGAGCATGGCGAAGATCTTCACGGGGCAGCTGGGCCCGGATAACGACTTCTTCGTGTACAGCCGGCACTTCAACCCAACGGTCATGGCGCTGGGCCGGCAGCTCGCGGCGCTGGAGGGCACGGAGTCGGCTTATTGCACGGCTAGCGGCATGGCCGCGATTTCTGCCGCCGTGCTGCAGCTGTGCAAGCACGGCGACCGCATCGTCGCGTCCAACAGGTATTAATATCTCTTTATTGAGAATCCGCAGCCTCCCTCTGATGTTGTCATACACTCGTCGTTGCGCTGCTTTATTCACTTCTCTTTTTTTCACATCGCCTATGTTTGGGTCTGTTTTTTCGTCAGACTGTACGGCGGCACGTTCGCGTTCCTGGACTGCTTCCTCCCGCGCATGGCGGGCATCCGCACCACCTTCGTCGACATCACCGACCTCGCGGCTGTCGAGGCCGCTCTTAGCGGGGACGACGTGGGGCCAACATGCGAGCTCGTCGGCAGCACAGCACCAGGCGCAGCCGCCGCTGTGCGTCCCATCGCGCAGGAGGCTACTGATGATCTGAACTCCACCGGCGTATGCACCACTCCACTGCCGCCAGGAGCGGACTCGCTGAATAATTCCGCCAGGGATGGCGAAGCTGTTCCGGCAGGTCCGAAGCGCGCGGGGCCGGCGCGATTGCTGTTCTTCGAGACGATTTCGAACCCCACGCTGGTGGTGGCGGACGTGCCGGCGCTGGCGGCGGCGGCGCACAGGCACGGCGCGGCGGTGGTGGTGGACAACACGTTCGCGCCCGTGCTGGTGTCGCCCGCCAAGCACGGCGCGGATGTTGTGGTGCACAGCCTCAGCAAGTTCATCAGCGGTAAGGGGGGGGAGAGATGGCATGCCTTGCTTCGTCGATCGTTCTGCTGACAGACACACTCTTGTGTTGCTGGGAGACGATGATCATGCCACGGAATCCTTTCTTCTGCTGCTCTTGCACCACGTGATTCTGTGTGTGATCTCTCTTACCCTGGTATACCCCATTGTACCCAATGATGACCCCACCCCACTCATCAGGAGCGTCGGACGTGATAGCTGGGTGCGTGTGCGGCTCGGCTGCCTTCATCGCATCGCTCATGAGCCTCACCTCCGGCTCGCTCATGCTGCTGGTGGGTCCCTCACCACACACACGCACAGCACACACAGGCGCATGTACAGGCGCACTTGCACCCACTTGCTGCTTCAACACCCCACAGCTATCACGGAACTCTCACAGCCCTGTCATGTTATGCCAATTCTCGATCCACTCTGTACTGCCCAACCCTTCCCTCTCTCTGCTGCCCGATCCTTGTCCTCCTCCCTCTTCTCTCCCCCCCCTCGCTTCCCCCAGGGCGCCACCATGAATCCGCAAGTCGCATTCAACCTCTCCGCCCGCCTGCCCCACCTACCTCTGCGCATGCGAGAGCACGGGCGGCGAGCGCTGCTCTTCGCCTCGCGCATGCATGCACTGGGCCTGCCCGTGTGCTACCCCGGCCTTCCCTCGCACCCCCAGGCACACGTCCTCGCACGTATTTCCAATGGCTCCCGCCCCCACCTCCTCCCCTCTGCTGCTGCGGCTGCACCTGCTGTTGGCGGTGGTACTGCTGCTGCTGGTAGTGGTGTGGAAGTGGGAGGGAGCAGTGGTGGGACAGAGTGGGTGGGCCCGTATGCAGGGGGTGGTATGTTAAGCTTGGACCTAGGGAGCACCGCCATGGCATACGACTTCATGCGCCACCTGCAGAACAATGCCGAGTTCGGATACATGGCAGTATCCCTCGGCTTCCACGATTCCCTCGTCTCCTGCAGTGGCGCCAGCACCAGCAGTGAGATGCGTGCAGAGCAGCGGCAGGCCGTGGGGATTTCTCCCGGGCTCGTGCGCATGTCGGTGGGGTATACAGGGAGTGAGGAGCAGCGCTGGACGCAGCTGCTACAGGCTGCTTCTGCTGTGGGGCTTGTGGGGGGGGAGGGAGGAGTGAAGAGGAGGAGGGTGGCGGGGGAGGCGGAGGGAGAGGGTGTGGTGATTGGAGAGGGAGTGGTGGTATGAGGTTTGAATGGAGGGTTATTAGGGTTAAGATGAGCTTCCTGTGGTTATTGTTTATACGGGGGGAAGAAGGGTAGGGGGAGAGATGTGTACATAGTGGGCAATGCTTGATTTACTGTACGTAATTTGTGTGGGGTAATGTGCAGAATTGCCATCTTAACATGACCTTCTCAGACTGTGACTTGGTCCAAGCCAATGGTACCCTGAGTTTCACCATAGAACATGAGGAGAACACATATACCGTGCCAGCTCACATACAGCATTGTTTGCTGAATGCAAGAGGGCCTGCCCCCTGCGCATCTTGCAGGAAATGACATACATTGGTGCAGCTGCATTGTGCTGAACTGTCATAAACTGGCTCAAATCATAAGGCTGCTGAAACCTTAACTCTTATCTTAGTTGATCGTAGATGTTGGGATTCTTTGTTAAGCTACAAGAGCTTTATTTAGCACATGGAAGTATTGGTCAATCTCTGTTTTTGCCAGCATACTAGAAGCATTCATTCATAGACTGTTTCTTCAATATTATACTGTTTTAGTTATAGAGCTGAGAGCGGACAAATTGTTCTCCACTGCCCAATGATGCGCTGCAACAGTTGCAGTGACAGCAGGAGGCGGCCAACATGTGCTACATTGCTCTACGGACCACTGCTTGGTGCTGCGCAATATATCCATTGTTGATCTATTCCAGAGCTCACTCTTGAGTTCTTCTACATTCTGCTACAGTTTAGTGTATGTATATCGTAGTGCTGAGAGCAGGGCCCAAATTTCAAGGGTATTTTACCCTTTTTGCCCTGCTCATAGGCCACTTTTTGGCAGTTACCCTTTTCAAATCAGGGTATGCAGATTTTTACCCTAGTGCAATCAGAATACGCTTAAAAGTACTCTTGTAGCTTTTCCAGTTACACTGACTGTATCAGGGTAGGGGTTCAACAACCCTTTTACCGGAACTTTTCCGTACCGCGGATTCCACCACAGTCCGCGCCACGACGAAATGCTCCACGGTCCCACTGGACCATTTGTTGGATACACCCACTGGCGCGCCAACGTACATTCAGGGCGGATGGCACCGCACACCTACGATTGGTCCGTTGAGCGACATTGAAGCCAACGCACCCAGTTTCCGTGCGTCACGCAACATCGCGCACTGCCAACGGAGGCAAATTGCGCGCCAGGTGGGGTACGTGCTGTCGTTTCCACCACCTGGCAGTCACTGTGGCCTTGCAGCCATTGCCGTGCAGTTCCCTACCAGCGAGGGAACCTTGCTGCCTGAGGCGCCTTGGGCTTTGTGATTCCCGAGGGGTCTCTCAGGCTCTTGCCATTCTCTCGTTTCCCTCTCGTTTGTTGTTCCGAATGCCTGCCTCTGAGCCTGATCCGCCTGGTAGCACCAGGAACGGTCTCTCCGTTCTCGGTGTGTTACCTCGGCTGGCTGAGAACTATAGCGTCCCTATCTCTCAGCATGCGCGTGAGCCATCCCCTGAATTTCTTGTCGGCGCCGTTTTCCCGTGCGAGCGTTCGGCCTCGCCAAAGTCCCGGGAGCCACACCCGTCTCTCGAGCTTGTTCCCGATGGCGGCGAAGGCCCGTCGAAGCCGGCCACTGCAGCCCCGTCCACAATTAGCTCCGCGCCCGCGAAGCGACAGCGTGTGGGCGTGACATACAAGCAGCAGAGGCTCTGGGGCGCCCCTCCTCCACGACAAGAGGCATCACCGCCACGCCGTGCTGCTCCTGCTCAGCCGAAGCCTCCAACCGCTTCTGCAGAGGCTGAGTATGAGTTGGTAAAAACGACTTTCGATTCGCAATGGTCAAAGAAATTCAGTTGGCTGCGCTTAATGCGCATGACTAACGGCAGGCCGTCATTGAAATGTGCCATCTGCATCAAGCACGGGGATCCAAACGCGCACACTGCCTACGGCGTCAGAGGTGAGGGTGCCCGAGACATGCAGCTAGGGAGCATCCGCGCGCACACATCAAGCAGAGCCCACAAGCAGGCCTTGGAAAACGAGGCCAAAGCAGACGCGGAAAAGGCGAAGCAAGCCACACTAACAAGGTGGCAGAGCACTGATGCAGCTACACGGCACATCATCCGCTGCCTCCACCTCGCGCTCTTCATCTGCAAGGCTGACGCGCCAATAGCAATGTTTGTTCCTTTGTGCTGGTTTCTGGCTAAGGAAGGACTGCCGGACCTTCCACCGTCTGGAGGGTACGGCGCCTACTACACCGAGTAAGTGCGGGTTCGTGGCGCTTGTGTTTGTTCCGTGACTCAAGCTGACCAGATGCTACTGCAACTTGTGTTCGTGTACCATGTGTGTTGTCCTCGCAGCTACGGATTCAAAGAGATGCTGCGCGCAACCTCCACTTACCTTCAAGAGACTCAACGCGGCCACCTTCTGGAATCCCCATATATAGGGATTCTTCTGGATGAGAGCACCGACCGGGTGAATGGCAAGCACCTGATACTGTATGCGACATTCTTCAAAGGGGTAACTCCGGTAACGGAGTTTTTAACTCTCATTACCGTGGACCGTGCCGATGCGGCCTCGCTAACCTCCGCTGTTGTGCAGTACCTTACAGGAATCGGGGTGGATCTCCAGAGGATTTCTGGAATATCTACGGACGGGGCGAGTGTGATGACCGGCAAGAACAACGGTCTAGTCGCGAGGCTGCGACTGCGCATACCACACCTAGCTTCAACTCACTGCGTCGCTCACAGGTACGCATGTTGGATTCTGAGTTTTTTCCAGCACAGGATCAGTGACGCGCAAACCGTACTAACATGCTCCAGTTGAATGCGCAGGGAGGCATTGGCAGCTAAGGATGCGGCGGAGGCAGTCCCCGAGCTCGGCATGGTGGACGACGTGGTGCGTGCCTTCTCCGAGCACATCGGCCGCAGCAGCGTGGACTACACCAAGTTTCAGAATCTCCAGCGCGTCTACTGCCAGACGAATCTGGAGGCGCAGGGCATAAACGACGTGCGCTGGCTCTCCCGTGGCGAGGCGATCCAGCGGTTCCTTGACGTTCTGCCTGCCGCCATTGTCGTGCTGAAGGACTACAAGAAGGACTTGTACGAGGTAGTCACCTCGTTCAAGTTCCACTGGCTCATCCGCTTCCTCGCGGATGTGCTCTGGGAGCTCAACCAGCTCAATCTGCGCTTTCAGCAACGTCAGGTAACCAACTGACAAGCACAGTTGTACTTACACGCACGCCTACAATGCTCTTTCTGACCGCATGTCTTATGTGTGTGCAGGTGGACGTCACCCTCGTGGCGCACCTTGTACAACAGACGCGGATGCGCCTGAAGACGCGCTACTTCGACAGGTCCCCTGGTCACTTTTTTGGCAGCGGAGAGAAGATGCAGCTGCCTGACTTCATCAAGGCTCACCAGAAGATGGATAAGCGACAGATGAAAGCGGAAGGCGTGGACGCGGACGGCAACGCCGTCTCCTTCGAATTCACCCTGCACGAACGCCCCCTGCCAGGCCATGAGACAGACGGTGATGTAACCGCGTGCTTCGAGCTTTCGCTCAAGTTCATCCGCAAAGTGGACGCGGAGCTGGAGTGGCGCATGCGCGACCTCAACCTCCTCGAAGGCGCCAAGCTGTTTCGTACGGCGTCGTATGTGGCCGACAACACCCAGCGGCTGGAGTCCTTCAGGAAGTGGCTTGGCCAGCTCCACAAGCTGTACAACCACAAGCTGCCTGGTAAGCGTGTTTGTTAGATGGGGCGGGTATTAGTGATTGACTTGCGTAAACAGCTTTGCACCAGCTTGTTTCCCATCGCGCTTGTTGCTACTCATCACCCGGCCCTGTATTGTGGACTAATGCCTCCCAATCCTACCCGTATGTATGAGCGTCTGCCAATGATCATCCCCTTCCGCACTACCAGGGTTCGACTACAAGCGTGCCGGCCAGGAGCTCTGGATGTTTACCTCGACCATGTTCTCCCAGCACAACGGCGAGGAGTTTCATCAGGCGCTGGGGAACATGCTGCGCGACGAGGCGTGGCGTGCGTCGTTCCCCAACATCGTCCGGATGTGGCAGTCTGTCGCCGTGCTACCACTGAGCACGGTTGAATGTGAGCGCGGCTTCAGCAAGCAGAACCTGATCAAGACGTGGGACCGCGGCAGCCTCGGCGACACAAGCCTTGAGCACCTGATGCGGTGCTCCCTCCTGCAGTACGACATTGACTGGTATGAGGTGGTCGCCATATTCCGCGGGGAGAAGCTCAGGCGATCCACCAAAGACTTCTCCGGCATGAAGGCCAGCAGCACTAAGCAGTTTGCAGACGAGGCAGTTGGTAGTGCAGCAGATGTTGATTGACTAGTGTCTTCTGTAGGGCCCTTTATTTAACTTGGTTGGTAGTAAAGCTTGTAGGTGCAGTGCAGAACACTTTAGTGATAACTAAGTAATTGTTGTAGTAGTACAATCTTATGCTTAGGAAGGAAACAGTGTACGACATATATTATCCTGCCAAAATCAGTGTACCAAAACTTTTAGGCTGCTACAATCAGTGTACGAGAAACTTTACCCTACCAGTCAGGGTACGGAGGGGATGCCACCCTGATTTGAAAGAGTGAGCTAAAACCTATTTTGGGCCCTGGCTGAGAGATAACACTTGGTGCAGTTTCAAGCTTCGATTGTTAATTGGCGGATCACTGAACAGTGCTTGCATTAATTATTTGTTGGAGATTCACTTGGTTGGATGGCAAACATTGGAGCAGTAAAAATTGGTGGAAACACTGTCTGTCTAGCTTATCTAAGTCATGGTGAGGATATGCACTTCTTACATGTATGGAGAAATCAATCCTGATTTATACAGGGTGTGGAAAACGGGTATGCGTGTGCATCGCGAGGCAGACATGAAACGGAATTGGAGGTTGGATTGGAGTGTATTTCGAGGCTGATGTGGCGAACCAAATCGGCGCGGCAGGGCATCTTGCTTCTGTTGGAAAAATATAGTTTGCGCTTCTGATGTGTCGAGTACTACAACGCAAGCGAAGCGAACTA